GACTTTGGGCTTCCGACCGGGTGCTTAGGGAAGTTTGGGCTTTAAGGTTGAGGGCTGATGCAGAGAGCGCTGGTTCGGGCATATATGCACAACTGTTGCAACAAACAACCCAGCGAATTCACCGAAGAGATTCGAAGCCCTAAAGCCAGGACCCCCATAAGCCGTTGATGCCCGAGCTTACCGAACCTTGGGCCCCAACTCCTTGCTACGTAGTGCGAAAACAGAGTGGACACGGCAAACGTCGCAACAACTCTGAGCAGCTTAGGCTTGGTCTCCACCTTACAGCCCCTCGCAACTCCGCAGGAGCGGCCGGAGTCGCGCCCCTACGGCCAACGATAGCCTGTGCATGTCGGCCTAAAGAGACTCGGGGAAACCCTTACGGCCTTCAGCCTAGTTGCAAAAGGCAGGTGTGATATCACTCTTAACCGCGCGAAAGCATGCACGTTGCCGCCTATGTTCCGCAGGTCATCTGCATTGCCAGGAGGGCATTGGAGAAGAATTCTAGTGTGAAACTTGTGAAGCTTCAGGAATTCCGTGGAGTACCTCAGGCAACCAATGGCGATGCCGTTTACTGTCAACCCTTCTTTCTCATGAAATGATGCCCGATCCATGCCCGATCCGCCTTCCTCCCCCTCTCACACCCACCAACCAAGAAACATGTTCAGATCCATGCTGAGCGTGTGGTGGTCCAGCGCTCTGAAACGGCGATGGCTTTTGCTGGGCAATCTCCGGGAGGCGCCAACTCTGCAGGTTCACGTGGGATGTCGCAACTGATATGCTGCGTCAGTGGAAACCACCAAAGCAGTTGAACGTATCGCCTGCCTGCTTCGGGCTTCGGATTCAATTGGCCGACTCCCATACCCCAGAATGACGCCCCCTAGTTGTCGAACCCAAAGCAGAGCACTCGCATTCCAGAACCCTGCAAGCCACGTCGCGAACCCCAAAAACGTGGGATCGGTCCCGATGTTCCCAAGGCTGTTTACGAGATCCTCTCAAGCTCTGTAGACACTGGGCCTGGCACCTTCGATGTCAGTACTCATACATCCCTTGAGCCCCTAACCCTTCTGGGCTCCCACACTCAGCTGAGTAGTTCATGTATTTCTCCCTCCCCTGTGCGGGCGCGCTGTTCGGGAAGGGGGTGAGGGAGCTGAGGAAGACATCCCTGTCGCGAACAGCAAACCTCGGGCTCCGCCTCGCGAGGAGGTTCTTGACCTCGGCTCTGGAGCCGCAGCCTGGGGCCGGGATGCTGGGGAGAGGAGGGCATCGGGAGCAGACCAAGGCATTCTGTGGAGACCTCTCTAGAGCTGGGAGCTGTCGGCCTTGGGAACTTGGTCTAAAGAGTATCAAGATGTCTTCAGCTTCTGAGCCTCATGAAACTTGAGACCCTATAGGCCCAAGGCCAAAGGCAGCACATTGACTGTCACCGGACAGGTTTTGATTTCTAGGGGGCAGCTTGCTTCTGAGGCCCTGCTCCAAAGCGCCTACTCCGAATTGGAACCCACGGAATTAAACTAAAGCAGGAAAAGAGTTAAAAACTGGAAGAGCATGAGATGGGCAAGGGGCAATCCTCACTGCTGTAGATAAGGGCAGACAATTAATAAGGAACAAAAAGCAACATCCTGCGAACAGTCGCTAAGGCATGCAAGTAGAGTCCTCATCCCCAGGACGGCGCACCAGGACAAACTAGCTGGTGTGAGTAAGCACAGCCACATGACAAACATCCCCAACATCCCCCATGCGCGGCCTCAAGTCTCGAAACACCTTTTGACTCTGAGTTGATTGAGGCCTACTGTGCTGCCTTGAAGTTCTGAGCAGCTGACTTGAAAGGCGCTAAATGGATTGGAGCGGCCTCTCGGCTTGTCTTCTCATATGGGAGTGCCATGGGGCTTTGGATGGCTTTGACCGGCTTGGATCTGAAAACAGGTGGGACATCCTTGCTGACTGGACTGTGCAGCCGTTCGCCCTTGTCTTAGTTGATGCGTCCGGCTTACTTCGGCTTACGTCGAGGGCGGGCGAAAGCGAACATGCATGTATACATATAAATATAAAAATAGAAAGCAGACGCGTGCGACGTTGCAGAGCGGTTCATGATAGTGGCCACCATCGCTCTCCGCCCTAGCCGCTGAACACCGACGCTGAAACGGAAAGAGAACCCAACATAACCCAACAATTGACATCATTCTGGAGCTGCGTGTTGCCGGGATACGTGCGGACAAAAAGGTTTAAGGGAGCCTCCATGCCAGGACTGATCCATCTTTGGCATGTCCGGAGGCCTCAGCGCAGCTGGGGCATTTGCAATTCACCGGCTTTCCACTTGAGACGACTGCCATCCCAACTCTCCCTCACACCCACGGCAAAGGCTCTGGATGGCTTTTAACCCAGACAATGCCCCGAGACACCGCCTCGACCCCTAAGCTTTCGGCGTTGGAGAACAACTGCACATGAGCATTTTTGGTTGGGACGCTGCCTACCAAGAACCCAGAGCTTCAGGCCTCGGCTAAGCAGCTATAGGAATCAGAAAAGTGCAAATTGTTGGAATAAATGGGTTGGGAAATCCTGACCCAATGAGGGGTTCCTACATACAGTTTGCAGGGCTGGCTGGCACCCTTGCACCGAATTCAAAGACCCCAACCTTACTGCAAATGGGTCCCCAGGCAGCTCGCGCCGCGCGGGCTCCTCAGCACAGGGCCTCAAAGATCGTTTTCTGATCACGGTGATGGGCCCTTTCTGCGAAATGATAGGAATCCAGAAGGGTTAGGCCAGGGGCTCGAGACTTGTTAAACGAAATGGAATGAGTTGGGTCCGAGTTCCGGGTTAGGTGGGTGATGTGCGTGTCGTCTACCCGGCGGAAGGCTTAGCATAGCAGCAAAGTAGGAATCGACTGATCCCCCACATAAGCATGGCCCCCAGTTTCCGTCCCTGCAGCATGTCAACCTTACCAGTCGCCGTGGGCGCTTTTGTTCCCGCCGGATGAAGCTTCGCGATGCTTTGGCATTTCTGGCGAGATGCCGCAAACCGACCGAGCGCTGCCTGTTAACAGATCAGCTTGGCTCACGGATCGAAGATGAGCCCCACACTGATAATCATGGTGAACAACACACGCCACACCCGCACACCACGCCGTACACACAACGCTACAAAGAACGATGCTGCATGTCGCATAAGACCACACCGCAATCAACGACACACACCGCATACCGCGCTGCCACACCGCATCGACTTCGTGTGTTCGATCTGAAATGTCCCTGCGGCAGCGGCTCGGCAAATCCCCATGCATGGAAAGGCCAATCAAGACTCTGTCCTTGGAAGTCCTCCCGACTCTAGCCCACACGACTTCTTCAGAGAAACCGTTGACCGCAAAATCCCTTGTCCTGAAAGCCTTGTCTACACGAGTCTACCCCTTCCCTCAAAAAACAGTCCCAAATTTCCGCATCCTCCCTCAACTCATCGTTAGTCGGGGCGGCGGTCCCCCGGGCAAGCTCCGCCTCGGCAAGGGATTTCGGCTTGGGCTCCGACTCTCACACTGGCATGCGCCGGGGTTTTGACTTCGGTTTAGGGATTATAGGGTCGGGCTTAGAACCCGAAATGAATGCCAAGCCCTCGACCCCTTCAACTCTTGAGCGCTCCACCTACCCACCTAAGGCCTCGCAAGCACTGGGGCCTCCTACGTAGGACCTACGTCGTACCCTGCAGTCCCACAGACCTCCCCCATCACAAGACCGATGACAACTCTGCAACCTGATGCCTGTGGCAAAGGAAGAAGCGAAGTCGAGCACGAGAACTGTTTTGCCCGGAAAGAACATCTACAAGCGACCGCGAACTCTGCAGGCCACTCCGGAAACCATCATATGGTTGTGTCTTTCCATACTCAAAACACCCGGAGAAATCCATCGAAACCTGTGAATATCTGCGACTACACGCGCTCTAATCAAGGCTGCACCCGGTGCTCGGAGCCCCGGGCGGCTGTGGAGGCCTCGGCTCCTCGCGAGGCTTCTCGGCCTTGGGAGATTCGCTTCGGGAGGGTGGTATAGAGGTCTGAGCGGAGCCTGAGGGCATCAATTTGCGTTCTGTCCAGTCGAGGCGTATCTGCAAGAGGCCCGGAGACTGGCACAAGCAGCAGAAAGTCAAGAAGCGACTCCATCTCACTAGCACAACTTGCAGAATTCCCTGAATGGTCCTCTAGTGCTCCTTGGTTCTTCTTTTTGGTGCTTGCACCTCGTGGAACCTTCCGAGGGCGCCACGGGCTTGGCAGAGTATCCTCACCGACTCATGGATTCAGCGGGGGGCTCAGGACTTGCGTTCTCTAGCTGGGGGGGGGGTGGGGGGGGGGACCTTTTTACAAACAAAATCTATAGGTTTAACTGGGGTTGTGGAGGAATTGGGTCAAACAGAGGTCAAAACATCAATTCAGCTCAACCCTTGTATAAGGGAAGATGCAAACCCATGGTCAGCCTACATCGCCACGACAGGCGCGTTCGCTGCTCCTGAAACCTACAACGTCTGCCTCCCCTAAACTCCGAGGGCGAACGACCCCTAGGGTGCTTTTCTCCGGTTCGGATCGTTCAAGTAGCAGTCACAAGCCGAACAGCTGCACGAGGCACGAGACGCACTCTACAGAAAACAGTCCTCCTCCCACGGGCTGGAACGGATTCGGGCCCCGCATTGACCTTCAAAGGCGGCCGTGGACGGATGGGTTCAGACAAGGGGCGCGATGCAAGCTCGTATAGGCCCTGCGCTCTAGATCGAGCCTCCACACACCAGAACCGAACGACCAGAACATAGAATAAGCCACAATACGCCACATATAAAAGGACACCCGCAAACAACGCGGCACTTCATCGCAAATGACTTTTCGTGTGTGCTGTCAGGCCAAAGGTGGGGTCGGTTCAGCAAAGGGACCCAGCATTTGCCGGATTCCCGCGCTCTGGATTGTGAAATTTGAGCTCTCCCCAATGCAGGGAAGCCTTTTGGTGCGCTTGGACTAACGGCTATAGGCGCTGCTACGGGGTGTTAAATGCTACGGCTTTTCCACGCGTGGTGCGGGGCTCGGGGGGAAATTCTTCGTCCTTGGGCAGCCTCACAGCGCAGGTGAGAACATACTGCTGACTTCCTGGCTCGGGCTCAACGAAGTGGGCCCCGTAGCGCTCAGGCTCGTCCTCTTTGTGGCGCAACCCGGGAAGGGAACACAAGCTCAAAACAGCCAACACTAGCCTGACCAAGCAGAATTGCTAGAGTTACACTCCTCTGGCTTTTCCTGTCTGTGTCAGTCCTCTGCTTCGGCCGTAACTTCCAGCCAAAAGCCGGCTGCGCCACGCCAGATGCTCCTCACCTGTCCACTGGAGGCTTCGGGGAAGATGCTCTTCAAGTCGGCGTTGGTGGCGATTGCATCCAAGTGAGACGGATCGACAAATTCCTACGCAGGAAGGCAAAAACGACCCTACTGCTCAAGCGACTCAAGCCCCCATGTCTGTCCAGGCTCAGGGACTCAAAGCTTTTCAGAGAAGCAACTTCAATTCGTAAGAGATTAACACTTCCTCAGCTCCCTGCTTTCAAGGGGGGTCCTGGTCGTAGTCGCCAGGCTTCAAATCCGGAAGGGGCACGGCTTTCGACGTGGGAAGGTTGCGAGGATCGGGTGGGAATGAAGCATCACCCACCTCGGTGAAATTCGGTGACTTTTTGGCGTTCATGCCTTCGCGGCTTGAGGCTTTGCATCAGGGATAGTCCTGCACTTCTGGGCTTGAAAAGGGCTCGCGCTCCTCGCCTGTTGCCTTTCAAGTCTTCGGTTTAAGCTTACCCTGTCGTTTATTCGTCCTGCTTCTTGCTATATTGTTCCCCGCCTGCCGTTGTCTCTAGAGCAGTCGATAGGATTCTTTAAAATTCGAGTGCGTGAAATGATTGCATGGTAGTTTGCAAGTACTTTGAGGTGCAGCTGGACTACTGCCCTCTTTGCAGAAGCCGAGTTGCATCCTCGATGAGGATGTCGCTCATCCAGCCGCAACTCATAAGGGTGTGAACAAAGGCGACTTGCGATGATCCATACTCCTTATTTGCGTTGCATTCGGCGAGCACGTGGAATCATAATTTAATGAATGCTGCGTGGCTGCTTCCTACATTGCAGAAGAAGAAACAACTACTATCAGCGATGCCCAAGATGCGACCTTGAGCCAGTACTGCATCACATGCTCCGACGGGTGCTTCGCGACCTGGATGACCTTCCCCTCCTGGACGGCCGTGGACTCACACGATTGGAGGCTCTCGAGTATAAAGGCTTCCGGAGCATCCATGATCCTTAGTGTTGAGACATCTGGTGCCAGCGAATCTCAGCACTGCCTTGTTATAACTCCCGAAGAAGACACAACAACAACTGTATGATTTCTGCTCGACGAGAAAGATCGTGTAGGGCTCGTCTCCTCCGGGCCCGGGAACTTCCAAATCTGCCGCATCCGCCGCCGCCGCCTCGGCTTCGGCCCGCGGAGCCGTCTCGCTTGCTGGCACATTTTGAGGATCCGGTGGAAACTGAGCATCGCCAACCTCTCGAATGACGTGGTCAGAGGTCCACCCGCAGCTCATGAGGGTGTGAACGAAGGCGATGTGCGGTCCATACTCAACCTGAGCTACTCCCGAACCACCACGACTTCAGGGAGATTTTTCAAAGGAAAGGAAGGGTACACCCTTGAGATGCTCATGACGCTCCGGGTCAATCTGAGCGGGAGATGCAAAGTTGTAGCTTCGGATGGTGGAGGTTGGTGGAGGTTGGTTGAGGGCTTGGAGCTGACTTTGTAGCCCAGCCGCCTTGAGCCAGTATTTCATCACGTGCTCCCCGGGATGTTTGGCGACCTGAAGCACCTGGGATCTGCCGGAAAGGTGCGTGGAAAACTTGAACTCTCCAAGGCCCCATGAGGGTTAGGACGGTTAGGAGGCTGATCTTGGGGCTGGCAGGATCTAAAGAGGTCATGCGCGCGATTCGCCGAGGTCCTCTGAAAGCATCCCAGGAGCCTTTCCCTCACGGACATCACCATGATCTTCGAGTGCTCCTGCGCAAACCTGTCAGGGACTCAGGGCTTCGGGATGCTCCGGGTCTCATCGGAGGAAAGATGACAGACCCTTGGCATGGGGCGCAGAGGTTTTAGGGTCGCCGGATCAAATTGGTCAAGTGGAAGCCTTGAGCCCTTCAACAACGAAGTCGTCCGGAGGGTCCACGATACGGTAAGGGCCATCATCCGTGACGGGCACAGGCATCCTCGGCCCGTTCAGGGTCTCCACACCCAAGCCCAAGCCGTATCTACGCACCATGCAGGCCCCCCCCTTAACCAAAAAAGAAGCAAAAGTCAAAACATCCCCAAACCTCAACAGCCCAGCATCGGCTCTGCTGGCGTGGTGCCCGACTCAACCGGCTCTGCCGGCGTGGCGCTCGGCTCAGCCGGCTTCTCTGTGCTCGACTCAGCTGGCTTCTCTGGCGGAGTTTCCTTCTCCGGAGTTGGGTCTGAGGATTTCTGTGCTTTCTTGGAGCCTCCAGATCCCATGCCCTTGTCAGGTTGAGAAAGGGTGAGAAATCGCTAGAACATGCAAAAAAGAAATGAATGAATGAATGTTATACATGCATACACATGCTCACAAGTGCCCTTGAAGAATTGTGAGAAAACATGCTCAGATGTAAGTGTGCAGTTTGCGTCTTGGTCCTCATGTTGAGCCGACAGCATAAGACGGGGGCAGCCCAAACCCTAGCTAACTATACCCAACCCCAGTATAAAACCACAGTCCCACAGCTCAAGAAGGCCAGGCCAATCCTAGAGACAAGAACCCTATAGAGATGGAGTACGTAGAGCGGTAGAAGCCCTACTTCAGCGCAGTTGCCACCTGATCCCTCCCTCGTTTCATGTCAGGTTCAGTGTATTCTGACGTGCCATCGCTGCCCGTGGACACCTGGGCCTGTGACCTCCCTGGCACGTCCTGCTTAAGGCCTTCATGTTCGATACTGGGTCGCCGGTACTTGTCGTGTGTCAGGTCTGTAAAGTAGTCCCGCTAGGGTTTGGACTTTGGACCTGCATGGGAGAATCAGAATGTGCCCAGCGGAGAAGCATTCCGAGGACCGGGTCCAAGGGGCCCAGTGCAAACCTTGAGACCTTGGGCCCCGAACTGAAGACAAAACACCGTTTCACAACCTGGCCGCCTTCACGAGTCCCATAAGCTCGCAAGTGCACTTTGCTTGCGACTTTGACCCCTATACACACCGAGACCTATAACTCCTCCGACGCGCCCTGAGGGCGCCCTGAACCCTCTAAGACTCTAAGCCACCAAGTGAGGGCAAACGGCCTTCCAGGGCCGCTTGGCTTAGCCTCAGCGCGTCTCAGTTCGGTCCCTCCAGTGATTCTGTCCTTATGTGCACCTTGGGAAGATGTGCTTCAGTAGTACACACACACACACACACCCGGGTGTGGCTGCGCTGGTTTATGGAAGGTTGTTGCTGTATCCACATGGGCAGTGGGGATCCAAAACATTCTGAATCTACAAAGTCACTTACTGTACACTGACCCGTATAGTGTAAAAGGACCTGTTCGTCCAGGGCCCCTGCAGGTGCCTCTTCGGGTGTCTCGGCGATCCACCCGGCCAGCCTTCAGAGGCGTGGTCATGGTGGGGGGGGGGTTTGGGCATTTCGGCCTGGTTTAGTCTGAGCGCTTTGTTCCCAAACAAAAATCCTGAAAATGGTCTTAGCTGCCAAGGGCTTTTGGCATAGATTTTCCGGGTTCTAGAGTTTTGAAGTCTTAGTCTTGGCTTGCGTACACAAGGCTCCTTGGGTTTCGACCTGGACGCTCAACCAGTCTGCATGCAAGGTCTTCAGGCACCATATCATACGCTTCAAAGGAACCAAGCTGAATCCTATAAGCTCCACGAGAAGGTTTAGACGACATCACTTCCGACTTCCGGATGCCTAAGAAGTCCCCGAAGGTCTTATGCTAAGCCCTCCACTCCACGAGACGGGCAGAGCCCTCTGCTCGGCCCTGCAGCCACGGGTGCGCCTCGCATGTGCAAACGCGGCAGGCAGGGTTCCAAGGTCGGGATATGCCGGCTTGGGATTCACATGAACGGCTCGCGGAGGCGGCGAAGCTTCACAGGACGTTCTGTGAGCCTTACTCAGAGCAGCACAGGATAGCAAAAGTAGCAGAAGCCGCCGGACTCTTGAATCCAGACGTCATAACCCTTCATACTCCTGTGCATCTTGCACAGGGATCCACCCCTTTCCAGCCTTCATGGAGGCCGCACCGGGCCGCGTGGTGGGATCCTTTTGCAAGGCCTGAAGGCATGCTAAGCTTTCTGCTTCTTCACGTGTTACTTCCTCCCTCGAACCAAAGAGGAACTTTTTGAACAACACCTTCAATATGGGCCCTGCAAAGCCGAGCTCAACAAGCCACCAACTGCTGACAGTTCGGGGATACATGGTAGCTCCGTGAACAACCGCCGTTTGTTCTGAGGGCCTACATCCCAAAATCCATCCGTGCACACTCAGGTGGTCAAGCCCCCGCTCAACATCCATCCTCAGCCCTAACACCTTGAACTGGGCATCTGCCCACAGCCCCCTAGCACGGCTCCGAACACAGCCCCAAAACCCACTGCAAAACCCGGCCAAGGCCTGAAAACAGCCAACCAAACCCTATCAACTCTCAAGGGCTTAGTTCGGCTATTGAGGGCGTATGTTGCAGTTCATACGTCCCAGCTTATGTGGGAGCCCTACATCCAAGATATACCACAACACCTCCAAAACCCTAAGGCCCTAAAGAAGCCGACATACGTCCAGCCTGCTGCAAGAAATCCTGCAACTTGTCGCTGTGCTGCGTGGCCGCGGGGAGGCTGGGGGGCTCTTGCCTTGGTGGTGGACAGACACGAAAAAGGGTCCCACAATACAATGTCCGGAACTACTAATCATCGCGTACAAGATCGGTGACATGCGGGTCGGCTCCCCAGTTGGGGCCGAGGCGTGTCGATGCGCCGCATGAGCTCCCAAAAGGAGAATTGTTTGCCCATTTCCTGTCAATAGACTCCATCCAGCAGTTCGGTGCTTGCTCTCAACTCCCAGCAAAGGGGGAGCAGGGCAGGATAGGTTCAGCACATGCCAAGTGAAAGTAAGCCTTCGCCAGATACGGTTCCCTTAAACCCCAAAGACCCCTCAACCCGCTGGCCTTCAATCGTATTTCCTGCCTTATACCATGAGATCAAAAGAGCTGTCGCCAAATCCGATAACTATGAAGCCCCACAGCAAAAACCTCAAAATCTCAGGTGCAAGAGAGTCAGGGGGCCCGACCTCTTCTCGAGCGTACCTGGTCTATATAGCCCAAGAATATGTTCCAGGGCTTCCTTCGGTTTCAGATCTTCTCTTGACTTGAAGGGTTTGGCCTGGGAGAACTGTGCATGCATTCCTTGCCCCGGTCTCAACGCGATGTTCTCGACTAGCGTCAGGTGTGACCGCTGTATCTGCTCTCAACAGGAGATGACAACAAAAACCTGATGTCGCCATGTCTACAGCGATGGAGTCGGGGAGGGGCCCAACGCACTTCACAGGCCCTCGGAGAGCCCTGAAGCGGAAACAGCCCCCCAAAATGACGGCCTGTTGACCTACACCCAACAAAGGGTGGGGCCCAACATCCTCAACACAAGCTGCGCAAAGCGGCCCGACACCCATCCATGACCAACCCTACCAACCCCTCCCTGCAAGAACCGCAGGACCCAGTCCAAGACATGAAGATTTGTCACAGTGGAATCACCTGGACAACAAAATGGTTGCGGCGTAAAGTCTGCTAAAAAACCCTGGACAGAAGCGCACGGGTAGCGGAGAAGGATGCACTCCATCAGAGTCAGACCAAGGCTCCACCTGGGCACTCAGGTATTTTTGAGGGGGTTGCCTTCTGCGAAGCTCTTCGGGACTTCGGGACACAAGGCGATATGCACAGGGAGAGCCCGTCTAGCAACCCAGTTTCCTCAGATGCCCTTCCGACTTCAAATCTGCCGGGCTTGGGGGGAGAGGCAAGGAGGGGCGTCACGGGGAAGCTCGAAAGCATGCAGAGCTTGGGATTCTCAGGTCGAGTGGTGAGAGTTCGCTTTGCACAGCATGCTGATTCTCATTGTTTTCCCTTACAGGCATTTAGTGCTGCTATGGTTTTTGTACTCTTTAGTCTTCTTAGTCGTACTCGCTTCGCCAGCCAGTATTTGAATGCCGTCTCGGGTTGTGTGGTCAATCACATCTCCAGGTCCTTCTGGGCAGTTTGGGGAGCTCAGGATTTGGTGCTCTTTGTTTGTTATCCAGGTTCAGCAGCTGGGCCTCAGGCGTATCGGAGTTGTACGCATAGGGCTTGCCCACCACACGTTCGGGTGACATGTAGTGTATAGTACCCACCTGGGCTTCATGGCTGGGCTCCGGGCACTCTAAGATGGCAAGCGATGGTGCAATGCGGCAGCATGCTGAAGGAAAGTATGCAACCCGGTGAATTCCAATATGTGCGAATGATGCAAACGATGCAAGTGCAAGCATCTGCCCTCAGCTGGACTCTCTTTGGCGAGGTGTCCAGGAAATGTAAGGTTGCTATCTTTAACCTGAAGTCAGGGAACTGAGAGTGCCACAAATGCAACGTGACAGTCGCGCTGAACCCCAGCTTCCCAACACTTCACCCTGACAAAGCCGCAAAGCTCCCATAGCACCCCAAAAAACATGCCTGAGCTCTGGGCGAAGGTGACTTTCTTTGTCTGCTCTAAGTCGTCCTCCAGCTCTCCGGACACGCCGAAGTCTGTGATCTTGACAATGCCGGTCGTGCCTTGAGGTTGAACCCAGAGGTTTAGCTGCCCGTCCCAGCTCAATGCTATCCACCACGAACTCACAAGATGCGAGCACTTCAGGACTGAGGGGGCTGTGGTCACTTGCACGTCCAAGAGCTTTATAGGCTCAATTCTAGATCCTGCCTTCGAAGTTCACGGGGCTTGCAGATCGTCTTGCCCCCTAAAGTGTAAACCTTGCCAAGTCCTGTGCGTGCTCTCACGCCTGGTGTGCTGGGTGCAGGGTTCAAGGAAGGTTGGGGTCTGCATGCTTGAGGCACTGAAAAAAGTTCCTGAACGAAGACGGAACCTGGATGAACCTGGGTTCCGGACTCAGAAGCAGGTTCGATGGCTTGATGTCTCGGTGAATTACATGCATCTCACCTGCTCGAGGAAAAGCATCTCCCGAGGGGAGGAGATTCAGGGCGAGATAAGCTGGGAAAGTGGTGGTGGGGTTTGGGCTTAGAAGGGTTGTCGGATCAAGATCAGGTGTGTTCAGTGTCGAACTTTCACCTCAGGTCAGACGCCCGGGATTTGCCGCACCTGCACTGAGAGGCAGAAGTATCAGTTGCAAGTACATGTCAGACCCGAGAAAAAATTTGTGCGCCTCAACCTTGCAAGCTGAGAGAGAGAGAGATAGAAAAACACACACACACACACACACCCACACACACACACACAGACACAGACACAGACACACAGTCCAGCTTAATGTTTAATCCTGTGGCCGTAGTAGCGCACTGGATGTAGACGTAGCAAGCCATCAAGGCTTTCTGCTTGGTCTGACGGAAAAAGTGACGCAGAACCTACCACATGCCTCACTCCCGGCAATTTCCCCAACCCACAAAATCAAAAGCCCAGAGTTCCCTAAATAGACCCGAGGCCCCCGGCTGTGCAAGTACTCCAGGCCATCCAGAACCTGTCTTCAGGGCTTCGGGGTGCCGAACCCGTAAGACTGCAAGACCTGAGAAAAACCTTACAGGGTGGCTGTTCAGGATCTCATAGTACCTAGTACAGGGCATTTGTGCTTTCCTTTTGCCACCCGCCAAGCGGATGCACTGGGCAGTTTTCGGGCTTCTGAGTTGAGGATTCGGGTGCGCATTTTTTGGCAGGGTTTCCGCACCTGGTTGCCCGTGTTGAAGACTCTGCTGCTTGCTACCAGACTCGAAAGCTTGAACTGCTCACCCCACTCCATTGCCTGCCACGTGATGTTGGCCAAAAGCCGCTCGGGAACTTGAAAATCAGCCACCTCGGCGAACCCCTTCAGGTGCGAATGAGAAGGGATGTTTATAGATTCTTATGGGGTTAGAAAGGGGCCTGGGCTTGCAAAACACGTTCCCCCCAAGGCTGCAGGAAATATGCCTCAGTCAACGGTGGCCCCGTAGCTGAGCCACACTGGCTGCCTGCCGATTTCAGAAGTCAAGCCTGTTTTCTTCGCCGAGCGCGCCACCGCTTTCTTCTTCGCGGCTAAAGTCGAGGATAGTGCCCCAGCATTCATGTACCTGACAATGGCAACTGACATGGTGATATTCAGCGTGGACAGAGACTTTGGGTTCAGGTTTCGGATGAGAGCCGAGGGTTTAGCTGACGGGTTCGGGCAGAGCTTCCAATGCGCCGCTGAAAGAGTCGAAAAGTTTCGGATTGTGGTGCGGTCCGTTCTTGGGAGGCTCCGAGGGCTTCAAACCTCAAAGCGTCCGCAAGGTGAGCTCCATGGGTCTGCGACATTGCAGTTCAACATACCTCCTATACCAAGACCGCAAGAGAAAAAGAAGATATCAGATGATACAACTCGAAGTTATTTTTTCAGGCTTGGGGAGCTGCATGGTATTGTCACATGTCGGTCACATGCACCTGCTCATGACACTCGGGGACTAGACAGTCCTTGAAGCCAAGCCCTCAACCTCGACTCCTGAAACTGCATCACAAATACCGCGCATATACCCTGCATGCAATGTAACAGAAAGCAGACAAGCAGGCCGGCGCCACTCCAAAGCTATATAGATACAGTTCTCCTCGGCTGGCAAAATGTGGAATGTCTGGTTATGATCGTGAAATCAAGGTTGACCATGAAACGCCCAGCTGATTGTGAAATGCCCCCGCCCCCCCCCCCCTCGGAGAATAACGGTTTCTGCACCAAGCAGCCCAGCAGCTGTTGTGTTCTCAAACTTGCCTACGCTGCGACAGGACTGTGACTTGCGCATGTCGGTGCAATCCGGGGCGCATGGAAAAAAGCTCCATAAAAGTCGACCTGGGATTCGGTAGGCGGTGGTCATGGCTCAGGGCCTATTGGGCTACAGGCACAGTATTCCGGGGGCTAAAGCACTGTGCCCTTCTCAAAGTGCAAGCTCGTAGGAAGAGCATGAGATGGCGGAGTTCGACCAGTGTTTTGTAGTGAAGAACAGCGCTCTGTGAACAGCCCAGGTCAGATTGCGCCATGTGTAGAGCCAAAGCCGCATTCCCCATACCCTAAAGTGCACCAAAGCCCGGAAAGAAACCGTGTTACAACTTATCTTCGTGCTATTTCGTAGGGAGAATGGGGATTGGGTTCCCGAAACAATGTGGCCTGGAAGGGTCTATAGTCTCATATAGAGGGCAGAACATCATTCCCTATTCAGCTTCTGCAAAGCATACTCAGAACCTGAGAGTGGCCAAGGCACAATGTGATCGCTCCGGCATTTGGCAAAGGTCCTGCGAGCACTGCTTTTGGAGCTCGCTTGCCACTGAAACTCTGGAGCCTCTGAAAACTGGAAAAGAAACAAGCTTCCAGCTTCAAGAAACATCTCGCAAAACTTGGAATCCCAAAAACTGCTCAGAAGACACCGTCCCTCTGAAAGCTCTGGTCCTGAGCTCGAGCAAGATTGCTTTCCTTTGCGGTTCAGCAATGTCCGCTGCCTGCATCAGCATGCATGGACATGTGCGGCTGCCGAGTGCAGGGGTGTGACAGGTAAGAGCTTCGCGTGCCTTTCGCCGTCTTGGTTTGCCCAACATTGTCTCGTCTTCATTTGCAGGAATCCAGAGCGTACGGATGAAGCTGACGACTTCCAAACTACAAGGGCTCCTGAGTTAATGCTCCCGGAGTTCTGCAGGCTGCAGGCGGCTGAAACCCCATGGCTCCCTGCTTTCTGCAGCATGAGCAACTGTGCGCATGTGGGGTCCTTCAACTTCGAGCCCTCGTGCTTGAAAATGGGACGGGCCTTTGAGTAGCAACACCTTTCTCAACAGTCCCAAGCCAGGATCCGCCCCTCCCCCCCAACTCCCCGGACCCGAACTTCAATGGGGAGCCCCAAATGCTTACACCTGCAGGATCTTCAACGCCAACTCTCTGCCAGACTGAACATGTCTCCGCTTCTCCTGCGCTGCGCAAAGACTCTGGAGATCTTCGATTGCTTTGGGAGCTCAGGGCTTATTAGTCGTTTCTTTGTCGTTTCTGGGGCAGGGGACTTCCGTTCTTCCGGTTTGGGGTGCTTTTAGAGTTTGGAGGTGACTTCTGCTGTCGCATGGCAGGGGATACGCAGCAAGTCGACCCATATCCAACAACGGTATGCCTTTTACCCTTGGGATCCCTTGGGGTGTTCCAGCGTCCCCCGAGCTCATGAGATTTCTCCGGATCAAGCCCCAGGCCGGGAAAAATTCTCTGAGGCTTCTGCTAAGCAGGCTTTTCTCCCACTGCACTCCGCGCATCATCGAAGCTCACCTTCAGCTCTATCTTTGGGAAAGCTTCCCGGAACTGGACCTCAGCATCCACAAGAGCAGACGCCGGAAGTCTGGAAGCACCAGTTCCCCCAAATCCCAAAAAAGAAGCGTTTTTCGGTGCCTTGCCGCTGAGGCCTCTGAGCTCTTGTAGCGACGGCCCAAACCCGAGAAGCTGCTTCGGTCGCGCCGGTGACGGAGCGGAACCAACCACAAGGCACTGAAACCACAAATCATGCAACACAACCGTCGCCAACACAGTGTGATTACAGCACTCTACAAACCGAATGACGCAGCTCCAAACCTCAGACGAGCCCAAGAAGTCCCAAACCCCCGCACTCCCGTGCAGATGCGCGGCCATGACGCCGAGGCAGCTGAGGCAGGGAACATGCGAAGCATGCAGCCTACGGGCTTCTGGACATGCAGCATGCTGCCGACTAAAGTGCAAGTCTGCAGGCCATACGTAGATGAGTCATCCTGCAAGCCATGCTAGTGGTGGGGGACTTGAAGCTGAGTAAAACGGCTCAGGGAGTCTCATGCTATAGTCTTGATTTGATTGGTGACTTTGGGGTTTCACCAAGGCCGCCTCTCCTGTTCCTTCTGCGTGAAAGAGGGTGCAACGCAACAGCCCTTCTGCAACTGTCCTTGCATGCCTTCAAGGTTTCTGATTCTACAATTAAAATAAGACCCAGGGATGATACTTTTTTTGGGAGGGGATTCATTCGTTCGAGGCCGGGCCTCACGGATCCTTCAGCCTCTGACATCTCCAAGCCCGGGCCCACAGCACGACGTATTGCGGCCACCACTGAGGTCCTCAGCGGACTTCGAGGGCGCAACTTGATTTGGCCCCGTGTTGTGTGAAGCCTACTGTATATGATGTATGTATGTATGTGATGTATATATATATATATATGTATATTATGTATGCCCTCCAGTGCTGCAAATCCAGGACCCTGACAGGAGTGCCTTTTTCGCGGACCCCAAACCCTACTGGAAACCAAAAACTGCGCAGCAGAATGGTTTCTGATCAGGTCCCCTATTCCGATCGGGGCCCGGTGTTATCTGATCAAACCCCCCCCCCTTCTCCCAAATGTATTTTTCGGATAAGGTCTTCTGCTAGGTCCCGGTCTTTTGATAAGAGGATTGTTCGAGCCTCGCTAAATGTACGAGTACATGGAAGTCTAGAGGTCCGCACGCCCAACATGCCGAGAGACAGAGCGAGGAACTCTGCATCCCGATCGCGGGGGAAGCGCAGCGCCACTGCCCGCAGCAAGTCAAGTCCTCGACGCGCGTTCTCAAGCATGTTTCGGCTCGGTACGCGTTCTAAGACGTGGCGTCTCTTGGCCGGTCCATCGGCATCCGGCCGCCCTCCGCTGGCATGCACTCGGCCAGGCTCACGCAGCGTGGCCCCGGCTCCGGGGATGCGGAGGTCGTAGCTTACCTCAGCTCGCAATCTCCTTCTGGATGCTGATGATTGTTGCTGTGTCTGCCGGAACAGGACTGGGGTGGAGTAGGGACAGGCAGCCACACACCAATACCCGCTCAAAGCTTGCGCTACCCATAGAGCAACACAAAAACAACTGCGCTTTTTTTGTCAATGCAACTTCTCAGTGCCGAGCTGAGCAAAGCACTTGTCCAGTCGACTGGTCCATCCAATCCTTTTGGCAAGCTGCAGGGTTTAGGTGATTCCTCCAAAACGCTGCTGCATCAGGAAAAGAACTGCCTTCGCTCAGGATTACATCCTGTCTGGGTGTGCGGGGGGGGGGGGGGGGGGGCGGGGTACCGACGAGCTCCTCCTCTAGCTTGCGACGCCCGGCCTCTGCTGGCCCTTCTGTGGCACCAAGGCCCAGCTGCTGCAACCTTTGATATGTTGTACTAAAGATAGATAGATAGATAGATAGAGATAGATATGTATAGAGAGAGTGTGACATCCCTGCAACCCCGAAGTTCTCAAAGTTTGGGGCAGACAAGCAACGACTTAACTTGTAAAGGGATCGAAATCCACAGATGTAAGGCAACGAAAGTCTTTGGATTTTGGTCCGGACAGCTTCATGACTACACACGCCGAGGTTGTCAGGTAAGCTTCCCGCAGCGACTGGATGGCCCGCAGCCGTTTAAGGAGGTTTGCAGGCCGAATCTTACGCTTCAGGCCGAGACCCTTCGAACTACAACTGCACTTTTTGCACCAACTGCGATGGTGGCAGGGGGAGAGGAGCTTGAGTAAGGATCCGGCGGTCCAGCAGATGTTTGCTTTGCAACAAAGCTGGCCGCACGGCCCAGCTCATCGTCATGTGTTCGTAGCGACTGGCGGCGGTATCTTAAAAACTCGCCACACAAGAGGCAAACAAACACGGCCACCATTAACAGGTGATGGTGGAGTGGGCTGCTGATTATTGATCAAATACAACGTGACTCTCTAATTAGGATTCCACAGAAACCCAGATGCTTGTGAGCCCCTCCCTTGAAAGAAGACGAGCGTATCTGGACAGCAAGCTGAGCACCATAACAATCCATAGCATACCACTGTATATGAATCCAGTATGTGGCTGCCTGAAGGTTCCGGAAAGAGTTGGCAAGGCTGCGGTTGTGGTGTGGTGCGCGTGCGTCCAATTTCTTGTAGGCTGAACGCCTTCCAGCTTCGTCCCTTACAGGCTAGACGCCTGTCAACTGACTGCGCTAACTACCTCGCGCAACCAGGACAATTGACACATTCTACCTGTCAAGCGCCAAGGCCTCCTTATTTGGAAAACCAGCGCTACAGATTTGCTGACCGAGATTCCCAAGTCAAGTTTGGGTTCCATGGCTTGAAAACTAAGGTAACTAAGGCTGCAGGCCGAAGCCATGTACGCTGCAGCTAGGACAGGGTCTGGCGGTCTATGGCCTTATATGGCCTTATAGGATGTCGAGCCTCCAAGATGTCCCGGGGCACTCCGACTTGGGTCTCACATGTCCAATTCTTGAATTGGCTCTTTGGGTTCGAACATGGTATCCTCCATCTTTGCTCCTTCGGTGTCCCCTCCATTCTCCTGCATCAGTCTTGGGCGACTAGGACTCAGACCAATGGCAAGTATAGACAAAGTCTGCTACACATACACTACATTGATGAGCTTCATCGCATGTTGCTTGACCATGCATCAGCTTATTTGAGACTGAATTCTTTTTGCTACAGTAGGGAGTTGAAGGTTTCGGTCGCCTAGCAAGAAGATGACTTGGAGGCAGTCTGCGACTTATGCAAAAGGCGTTCGAGCTGAGGCTTGGTGCAAGGTGGCTATTAATCGGTTCCCTCCCTTACAATGAGCCCCTCAATTCTGAAGGAACTACAGGTGCGACACAGCATCGTTTGGGGCTTCAAAAAGATTAAACAAATCCCCTTTCCGGCCTCGACCACTTTAGTCGCCTCTGCCTCCGCATCGCTTGGGCACCAGGGCTTTGGGATTTGTGAAGACACTACGATGGTCAAGCGCCTGAATTTAAAGGAGGCCCGGCTTCAGACCCTATGTAAGTCTGTCCGATGACAAGATATGAAAAGGCTCCTGACTGCACAGTTACGACACGGGTTCCCCCCAAAAACCTTTGCAGCAGGCTTCACAACACCACCCAAAAATGCCTAAAGGCCAAGCCATACTGGGGTCCCCGCTGCGATTCAAGGACGGTTCCCTTACTAAGTTGACAGCGGGGAATCCGCTGCCTCCGCATCCGTGTTCAGCTTCCGGGCAAGGGGTTGCAAGCCATTGGTGAGGCGCCAGGCGACTTGCCTGAGCCGAAGCTTAATCAGCTTAGCATCGGCTTTTGTTCCCGATGCTCTTCCTTCTTGGAATCTAGGTGGGTTTAGGCTTTGTAGGGTTTCTATGGGCTTAGAGGGTTTAGGCTTTCAGCCCAGCTGCGTGGCGCGCAGCTCCAGGTCCTCTGCGGGCCAGGCTGTGTGGCATCAGATATCACACAGTCTCACGCAGTCTCAATCAGCCAAGAGCCAAGAAGCACAGACGTGAAGGAAGAGCTCACGCACAAAGGCATGCATTGCTTGTCGAGCCGGTGTATATGAAGGAAAGGATGATACCAGCTCTAAGGACACCTGGAGACCTTTTGAATCCGAAACGCCGCAACTTGTGCAAGTAGAGCCCTCAGCCACATCCTGGCAAACCTACAGGACGACCCCGGACATCACAACACCCTGCCGCCCTCCACACTCCAAAATCCAAGTCCTCGGCAGTGGACGAGTAGTTCTGCGGAGAGAACACCACCGCAATCTCTTGAAAGACTGCTCTGATAATGCCTGGCATGCGGGGAGCCGGCCTCCTCTTTCCAGGCAGCGGCAAAGATGGTTTTGGCCGCTCGCTTCGGGCTTTAAAGTCTCAAGGTTTCCTCCGATTTCCTTGGTGAAAGCGCTGAAGTAAGCCCCTGAAGCCCTTGTCATAGAGCCATGTTGAGCCTGTGTAGGTGGCGAGATCGAAGACCTGCAGGTCAGGCACCTTAGCACTTCAGGTTGCTCAACTGGCTCAAGGCTTTTTAAGGAACGTCAGATATGGAAGGCTTCTCAGGACCTCCCTAGGCTCCACATGCCACCCATGGTCACAGTCACGCACCACATACGCAAATTCAAACGGTGCATTTTGCAATTATGTCAGGCCCTGGGCGCGTTCAGGAGCTGGTCATAGAAGGATTCGGAAGGGAAGCGGAAGCCATCTTCTGCAATGATCGGAAGGAGGGCACAGTTCTTGACCTCAGGCAATGCCCATTTTTGGAATGCATTATAGTATACGGGCAAGGATAGCAGCTCGAGTTCCTGGCCTGAATGAAATACAGAAACTTAGGGCTCCTATGAGACCATACGAGACCGAAACCAAGGACCTAAGCACCCGCGGCCTCTGAGCCAAGTCACTGTGAGCACTTGCAGCAGCCAGGCTGCCACCTGCGCAGAGTGGAAGCAGCCGTCGCTGCAGATCAGAAGCACCGCCTTTACCTCAGCTGGGCTTGGGGTTCAGGCAGGTTCAGGGACCGGTTTTCCAAGATTTCTTGTGGAGTGCTTGCGGCTTTACGAATGCTCGGGGCAACCCGACCATTTTTTTTAAACTGCGGACCCCATATCACGCCAATGTGTTCACAACTTCCAGGTGTTCTGGGTGTTGCCAGTCAATGAGTTTTCAAAATACCCTTCAGTGTTTCGTGGTCTTTGCAACAAGGACATGTCCAATGTCCAAGTATGAGTAGCACCGAGAACACAACATCCGAAGCCATCTATTCAACACAAAGGCCTCCAGGCCGGCCTACCTGAACAATCGCCGTGCCACACTCGGGGGCACCTTCTTCTCCTTCATCAGAACCTGAGCTTTTCAGACACTCCCGAAGAAAGACGGGAGGGTTGGCCAAGGACAGCGGAACTCCTAACAACCGTGAGGAAAAATGTCGGGTTGGAGCTGTGAAGAGTCTGGGAACATGGGGGACGGCCCCACCACTTGCCATGACCTTCTTGCGCACGAGGCCGAGTAGAACAAAAGCCGTGGCTGCCGCCTCGGCGGGCTGTTCTCCAAGCTTGCAACCCTTTTGCAGCAGGCTTGCGTGAGTCCTCGCCAGGATCAGGCTATCGCTCTCCGAGCTTGCAACCCTAAACCTCAATCGCCTTTCAGCATCGTTGTGACGCACATTGTTTGCATAGTCCTAGCCCTGAACTCCACAGAGGGCCATCTCCACCCCGAAAACCCCACGAAACCCCCTTTACACTCTGCTTGTCCGACCCTGGCCTCCATGTTGTCCAAATCCACCAGAATCCTGGGCACTTCAACGGTTTTGAAAAAAGGCGGGTGCTGCTGCCGGGCCCTCTGGGTTGAGGATGTCGGCGGATGCTCATGATGGTTCGGAAACTTCATCCCCCAGGCTTCCGTGTAGTCGTTCAGGTCCGGACTCGGCTGGGCTTGCTGGGTCGGGCATGTTGGAATGGCGTACTGCACGATCGAGCATGACAACTTTTCGTGCACACATAACGAACAAAACACATCGAAAACAAACAAGCAGAGAATGGTACTAACCATAAAACAAGCAACACAAAACTAAACAAACACAAAGAACACAAACTACCAACATGCGATAGCGCAAACGATTACATGCTTTCATGCAGCTTTTGCGAGAGAGAGAGAGAGAAATCAACATTTTTTAAATATGTGTATATATATTTTTTTTAAATGTATATATATATATATAGATATGCATAGACCATATGCATATATAATATAGACATACAACTATAGAGCCAGTTCCTGCTTCATGCGGCCGTTCATGGTGCAACTTGTGGAATGTGGAGAATGCAGACCGCAGTGGGCCACGCCAACATCACGCACCCAGCAGTATCCGTGAGTATCCCTCGAGCCACAGTCGAAGGGTGCCATACGGTGCCCCACGAAGATCACAAAATGTGTGGCGGGCAACGCTATCGAAGGCTTGCGTACATCGGTGCGCTTCAATGAGTTAGAGAGAGAACCCATTCTCAACAATTCCGTGCTCGCACCGCTGCTACTTTGCTTCTAGAGTCTGCATATGTCGGCATGTTGCCTCTCTGTCTTGTCTGTTGGGGTCCCCAAGCCTCCAGGAGTGCTCAGGAGTGCTTGCCTTTTTTGTCGCGCTTCCTTGCCTTTACGCTGCAGATGCACAAATAGATCAGACCATGTATATACACATGTGTATGTATGCATACCATATATATATATATATATCCGCCGACCCCAGCTTTGAGCGGGGGAGGCGCTAGTGAAGACTCCACGGCGTCGGCGTAATTTCGCACCTTAAGCTGATGCATGTTCGCCCCCTCCGCTTCCCTCCCACCCCCCCACCCCCCCTCCCACCCCCCCCCCCCCCCCCCCCCCCCCCCCACCCACCCCCAACCCCACCCCTCACCCGCCTCCAACCACCCACCCCCCCCCCCCCCCCCCCGCCCCCCCCCCCCCCACCCCCCCCCACCCCCCCAACCCCACCCCTCACCCGCCTCCAACCACCCCCCGCCCCCACTCCCCCCCCACCCTCCCCATGACTGACTTAAAGACTCCGCCCGCTCTGCCCGCTCCGCTCCCCCACCCCCCTTCCCGCCCACCCCCCTCCCCCACCTCCCACCCCACCCCCCCCCCCCGCTCCCCCACCCCCTTCCCTCCCACCCCCACCCCCCCCCACCCCACCCCACCCCCCCCCACCCCCCCCCCCCCCCCCCCCACTCCCCTGAAAGACTGACTTTGAAGGGGCTCCAGTGCATGCCTGCCCCCCTCCGCTCCGCTCCCCCACCCCCCACCCCACCCCCCGCCCCCCGCACCCCCCCCCCCACCCCACGCCCCACCCCCCCCCCCCCCCCCCCCCCCCCCCCCCCCCCCCCCCCCCCCTAGATGACTGACTTTAAAGACTGACTTTAAAGGGCTCCAGTGCATGTCCCTGGCCGCACTTTCATGCCTGGTCCCCTCCCGCTCCGCCTCCCCATGGCCTAAACGTCCCTGGCCGCACTGGTTCATTGGCCTTATGCCTCTAGACCCGATCAGATGACTTTAAAGGGCCCCAGTGCACGCCCGCCCTCTCCGCTCTTCCCGTCCGTCCGCCCTTCCCGCTATAGCAGAGTCTGGGAGACCGCTTACTGTTGGCTCGTGCGGACTGGGGGAGTAAGATGCCATATTTGCCCTCTGCATACCCTTTAAGGGAGGGTTAGGGTTTGGGGTTTAGGATTTCGGGTTTAGGGTTTAGGGGTTAGGGTTTCGGGTTTAGGGCTTCTTAGGGCTTTAGAGTTAGGAGTTTAGGGGTTTAGGGTTTAAGGTTTAGGGTTTAGGCGTTTAGGGTTTAGGGTTTAGGGTTTCGAGTGGCCTTGTTCCAGTTCAAATTGAGGAGATGCTTGGCCGACAGATATTGCACAGCGGTCGCGGATGGCCTCTCAGCACACTACCGACTAAGCCCTCCTAATGCTCTTGAAACCCTGAACGCTCAACCCTAAGCCCTAGACCCTAAGCCCTAAACCCTAGGCCCTAAACCCGAAACCCTAAACCCTAAACCGTAGACCGCTCACTCTCCTCCTGCCTCTGCGAATTCGTCGAAAGATGGCCTGCCATCCTTGTTCTTGTCCGGTTTGCGCGGAGCATCAGGTTGAGGGGTCGGCGGCACTGGCGGTAGCCATTAAATCCGGCCCCCGCGCCGCCCGTGGTCCAGGGCGGAGCCCGCGTCGCACTAAAGCGCTAGCTTTAAGGGGCGAGCGCCCGAGCCGCCGACCCCGCCCAAAATTGCTTCAAATTCGCGCGGGGCCCTTCGGGAGGCCTCCAAAACGGCATCCAAGGGGACGCAACACGCGGTGGTGCGAAAAGCACGAAAACCTCGTAAAAACCATGGGTTTTTACGAAAAACCGAGGCCACAAAACACCCGCAGCACCCCATTAAACCCTCACGGGCGCGCATCATCGGCCCTAGCTTTTCACATGGGGCGCGCGCCAGGCCGAAACCACGTTTTTCAAGGTTTGGGGGGGGTACCGGAAGCCCAAAACCAGGCGAGCATCATGAGCATCAGCAGCCCTGGCCCGCGGACCCAAGGCAAGAAAAAACGCTGAAAAACGCTGAAATCACCGTAAATACCGTGTTTTATGAGGGTTTTCACGCGTGCCTCCGACCCCCACCCTTGTTGCCCTTGACCCGCCCCCAAAGTGCGCATCATCGAAACCCACGTCGGGGGGGGGTCTGCTGATGCTGCTGATGCGCGGGGGTCCGGGGCATCATCGAGCCATCGTTTCTCATGTGGGCTTCGTAGGCCTCCGGGCCCACGGCCCAGAGACCCAGCTGATGCTCATGATGCTCGGTTTGGGGGGGTGTTCCAACAGCAGAAAACCTCGTAAATACCGAGTGTTTTGTGGGTCCACGTAAAAACGCCCCTAAAATCGCTCATTTTACGCGCTCGAACGGCTTCGTGCCTACAAAACACCCGAACAGCAGGACCCCGAATGCCCTTAAGGGCATTCGGGGTCTTGCTTTTGGGGGTTTCGTGGGCACGCAAGCGTTCAAGCACATACAATCGGCGTGTTTAAGGGGGTTTTGGATGGCCTGGGGGAGGCCGCTGATGCTCATGATGCTCCCTTTCCTGGGTCCCAAAAGGCTTCCCAAGCCCAAAAACACGTGTTTACAGCGTTTTCTGAAGGTTTTTCGAAGGCAAAACGCATGCATAGAATGCGTTTAAGGCCCCCAAACCAACCCCACTGATGCTCCTGATGCGGGTGCGCGCGCGCGCGCGCGCGCGCGCGCCGGCGCGCCGGGGGGGTGGGGGGGGAGGGAGGGGTGGCGAAGGCAGGAGAAAGAGAGACAGAGAGAAGGAGAGGACAAAGACACGGGAAAGAGAAGACAGTGCCAAGGTTCAAGGTTTCGTGCTTTGGGGGGCGGGGGCCGGCCCGTGCCGCTAGGCCTGAAATATATATGTTTCAATTGCAGCAGATCCGAGTGGCAAGCAGCCTGAATCCTCATGGGCGTCCAGGTTCGTGGACAGCGCTTTGCTCATGCCCGTCAGGCTGTTGACCTTGGTCCGTTCAGCCTTCATATGTTGCCTCTGGAGAAGAAACGGATTATTCCACCATTACAACCAGCCTGCGCCCCAATCGCCAGCTATCTTTTTCGCACTATGCTTGTGGAATATCTTGACACCCTGCCTGCCGAGAAGCACCGAAACCAACGAAATCGCATGCGCCAAGCCAGACTACAACCAGTTAGCTGTGCTCACCCCCCAAACTCCCGAATCATGTTTAAGACCTGGTGGCCACGCTGTTGATCGAATCGGCGTTCAGCAGTGCAGGGACGTCGATAGTTTCCACGGTGTTGATCCAATCTTTGCTGCTTTGGGGTCTTCGGTTCCGAAGGCTTGCCGGGCTTCCTGGCTTAAGGGGTCTTGATGGCCTTTGGGGACCCTGAAACCTGAAGCCCCTAAAACTTTCAAAGACAAGCAGAAAACCTAGGATCACAGGACACACAGGCCACCAAGCGTCGCAGGGTCTCCTCTACCTGGCTTACAGTAGCCGTGGCTCCTAAGCTTCAGGTGGCCAGTCCCTGTACCAAACTATACGTAACGCGGGGTGGAAGGATGATTGCTTGCTGTGCATGGCTTGTTTTTTGATCCACCTGCCTGGCTCTTTGGGCGATGGGCGACGGGGTTCCATGAACGTTTGAGAAGCCGACAGGAAGTCTTCTTTGGCAACACGAGAAGCGTAAAAGGACCTGACCTGAGGACCTTTCCCATGTCAGCCCCATGCGACCGCCCTGACTGTTGGTTCCGCCTCATTGAGGCTGATGTTGTAGTTGGTAAGCTCGGTGATGTCAGGCACGATGCTCGTATAGTTCCGGATGAAGTGGGCATCGGGCTTTTCGAATCCCGGAAATGTCAGAAGAGCTGTGTGCACCCGCTGCAGTCTGCCGGTCACCATCTCGCCAACCTGTTCCCCCCAACAAGCAGAGAAGAAGCAGTCCAACTACCAGAACAACCACATAACTCACAATCTCTTCATCTCATCTATGACCCCGACCCTATCCCAACTGAAAAGTCTTCCAAGCTAACCCAGAACCTCGGAACACGAATTAAATAGCACACCCTGCTGAAAGCACCCAGGAACGCACCATTTCCTGGTAAGGATCTGAGGAGAACCCAAGATCACCAGTGTTTGGGTGTCCTGCCCGACGTAGCTGAACCTTTGTTCATTCTGGGTCGAAGAAAACAAGTTGCAGCTTGTAGACGCATCACAAGCACCCAAGAGTTCAACGAGTACCGCTCCAATCCTCCCCGGCCACATCCTGAGACCTTAACCCTGATGTTCCTCAGCTGTCAAACCAGTATGGCTTCTACAACACAACGCCAAGCGTGGTTAACTTCGTGAACAACCCTGGGGACAAAGCTTTCAAAGTCCTACGACGGTCCGACAGCCTAGGAACAGCTTGGTGAGGTCGTTGAGGTCGTCGCAGTCCACGAAGGTCGTGAAGCGAGCACCACGAGACTGACAGTGCATCCTGAATGAATGGTTGGGGTTGGGGTGCAGAGCATCGGGAGATCGACTTCCCCTACGCAGCCAACCCCTCCAAAACCCCAGGCTTCGGGACCCGTTGCTTTGGGCAGGGCTTGGGATTGTGATGTGAGGGTTTCCATTCAAGAGCCGAGGATCTTCATGAGCCGCGCGTAGCTGCCAGCCGCCACCTTCTGGTGGCAGATGAAGAACCTGAGAAACTTCAGGGCAAAGCGGACACAGGCGTAACTAAACGCTCCAAAGCTCGCGGAGTTGCTTGTGCTCGTACTTTGTGCTAACGCAAAGCCGTTACACATGCAGAAGGAAACGGCAAATACATAACAAAAATGCCTTGAAAAGGTCACAATGACCCACGCGCACCCCTTTGATTGTAGAACCTGCAACATCGTATGGGACGCGAAGTGCCTGAAAAGTAAGCAGTTTGGGTTCAATTCGGGAAGGCGTCCACCGATGTATAATGTTTCATCGGCTCGTAATCCCAAGGAACCAGAACGGCTTCCGATACTTCGACGAGACGTGCTTGACCACCCCGAACACGATGGCCCCAAGGATGGACAAGAACCTGAGCGACGCGACGCACTCGCACCCCGGAGTCGACCATGCTTACGTCAGCCCACAGCAGATTGCCTAGCTGGGCGGGTAGTGGCAGTGCGGAACATTCGCCCAAGCGGCATGAACAGGGAAAAGAGGACACAAATTGCAGTGGTAGATGAGCTCTCCACCTCCCCAGCTTCGGCTACCAGCATGCTCAGAGAGGGTGGACTGCTTCAGAACCACTTCCAGGAGCTGCATGGGCAAACTTGCTTGCATACGTCTGAAGAAGCCTGACCGCAGCACGACGCAAGAACTGTCATCTACTAAGCGCCTCGGTCACGAACAGCGAGCCCATGCCCAAGATCACCAGCATCCCTGTGACCAGGAAGAGGTCAAGGAAGTTGCAGACCATGGCCCTCCACCTCGGCTTCGGGACCGTTGGGCTGTCGAGTCGGGGAGTTAACAACGTCTTGGGGGAGGTCAATCCACATTTCCCAACCGTCAAGATGCGGCTTGCCGAAGGCCACAAGGACGAGGCTGGCATAGAGCCTCGGCCGGCTAAGGCTGACCAAGCATGATTTGTCAAGCCACGCAAAAATCCGATTCCCCGAAACTTCCCTAAACCTTGGCCCCATGCGCAAGGGCGCAGCCGAGTGACAAGAGGTTCATGCAAAGAACGCGGCCCGAGGTCGAGGAGATCAGAGGGCACAGTACCACCAGGGCATTCCTGGCTGTACTGTAGGGTTCGGGTGGGTTTAGGTCAAACGCAATACCCTCACTCCTGCACCTCTTAATCCCTGGAGGTCGAGGAGTTAAGTGAGTAGGGCTCTAGAGGTTGAAGGCCTATGGAGGTGTGTCAAGCAGGGAGGAAATCTGTGGCCCCCTGGGGCGCGAAGCCACGGCCCATTGCTCCCAAAGCTTTGGTGTTTTTGGGTTTGTGCTTTAGGGTAGAAGCCCCAAGCTTGGTGTCAAGCTGGCATGATCTCAATGCTTTGATCAACTTGTGTAGCAGGTCTGTTGCGGCTTAGTAGCCACTCTCACTTGCTTCTCCTGCTATCGATTCGCCAAACATGATACATCCCCCCTGCCGCAAAATGAAAACAAGAAGACCATGACTAGCAAACCGCCGACAACAATGAAGAACGTGCTACAGTATTTCCCAAGCCCCAATGAGAGGCCGAGGCGCCGGACTGAGAAAAGCACAGAGAAGACTTCGGCGCCGGGTCGGAACCGCATGAACAGGAAGGAGCAGGAACGGATCAGCTTCACCTCTTTGAGGCCGAGCGCAGAGAGAGCAAGAGAGAGAGAGAGAGAGGGCGCGCGATATGTATATAAATATATAATCATCTAGACGTGCACAGAAAGAATAAGTATTATTTATCTCTATATATATATGTATACGTATGAGACACACATCCCTGCCGAAGCCCGAAGCATTCCCTCAACTCGCTGTGGTCAGGGGATGCTTTCAGGAGCAGCTTGATTTGGGGCCGAGCAGTAGATTTACGTGGAGAGGTAGAGGTTTGCACGCGGTGTTTGGGCGTAAGTGCTCCAGATCATCGGTTGGACAGCGCGGGTGCGGTGTGTTAGATGTCGGACGTAATGGGCGCACAGCCGTCTCGCGCGCTGAATTTGCAAATTCGATGTGATGACATATGACATGGTTTCGCGGTTCTCGTGCGCAGTTTCCCTGTGGTGCAGTCGGCTTTTTTGTGGCTTTAAGGTCTCAAAAGGTGGGGGGGTCGCGGAAACTGCTGAGAAACTGTTTTTCGTGCTCCGATCCCGGTAGATGCCGCTCTCGGCGCAGTCCTCTGAGGCGTGAGGCGATGCGTAGTGCAATGTTTGCTTCAACCATCATGCGAGGCTTCTGTTTGCAAATAGGGGGGGGGGGGTCTGCGTCTGCCCCTCCCCAGCAACCGCTGTGTAGTTTCAGAGAGCCGCATGCTTGGTGAGGCAAGCCTGAGAGGAAGCAGAAAGTCCCAATATGCTGTGGGCAAACCATTACTTCCCCGCCTGGATTTCTACCCAATTGCCAAGTGAGAAAATCAGACGGAAGGCACTATCATCTTGGGTATGCTTGTGTTTTGTCTTGCTTGGGACTGTGTACGTCGCTCCGTTGGACATCCATGAAACTGCCATCTTCGTAAAAGCCCAACACCCAAACAGTTGCAACTTGCAACGGTCCTTGTTAACAAGCTCGGGGAAGAACCTCTTCTAGACAAAAAAGCCCCGAGCCCCGCCGGGCTGCGCACTACAGAGACCAGAAACACTGCATGCAAACCCAGAAGACCCCACACCCCACACCAAGCCCAAGCCAAAACCGAACAAACAAACCGCACGAACCCCTGGCAGAGAGGAGGAAGATGAACAACTGAAGCTGCAGCTGGGGTTGACAACCCGAGGGGCTGCGCTACAGGCCTTGGACGACGCTAAGTATGCTAAGTACGACCATCACGAGCTGCGAGATGCTTGTTCTCAGAGTCTACACGGCCTCGACTTCAAGTCTCTTTCTGACCCTTTGGAACCCTGTGAATTAAGCTGAACAGATTGTCCCGAAGGGCTGCTGGATCCCTCTGGCCCGCTTGCCTCGCCGTTGACCAGCCACTTGGGCAGCTGCACCAGGGTGATCCAGGAGCAGATCCTAAAAATGGGCTCTTGGAAATATAGGGGCTTGCAGTGGGACGAACGTCAAACTGCACGTCTCCTCTGCACGGCCGAGGCCCCCGAGACCCTTCTTTGTGCCACCATACATGCCGCCATCCCTCTCATCCACGTTTGAGCAGCCACTCCAAATTTCTTATCTCCTGCCAAGGCGCGCAAGGAAGCCCACTGGCAGGAGGCACGAGAAGCCCCCAATGAGCCTGGGCCACTCCAGGCACTTTGCAGACCCTACGCCCTTTGGAAGGGAGCTTACGCCGGCTTAGAGTTAGTCTCTTGGTGCGATGCCCAGCCTCAGACCTACCCACCTGAACAAATGCCGTGTGCATCAAAAACCGGGCAGTCAACGCCATGCTGAGGTGGTCGTCTTGGCCATTGCAAAGGACCTGAAAGGGGTCCAGGGCTTTCGGGCTTTTAAGGCATTGAGAGCCCATTTGAGTCCAGGGCATAAAGTGCAGGGTTACCGGCATCCAAGGGGTTGCTAGAGTTTCGAAGGATCTGCTTGTTTTGACTCTCGCACTTGCTCATCATTGATGGCTTAGTAGAGGTAATGAATGCAACACGCGACTTCTTCGCTCTCGCGGGTTGCTCTTTCGGGGCGCTCCTTTGATCCTTCTCGCGTGGCGCCCAAGCCTGAACAGCACATTCGGACCCCGGACAGCAAGTACATGACGTGGGCAGCGGCGTCTACCGGGAATGGCTCAGGTGGGGCAAAATGGTGGGCATCCTTCGGGCCCGACAGAACCCAGACGCCCCAAACTTTCGTCTAGAAATGCCTGCCGACCAAACCTGAACTTCTGTCGCTTCTTGAAGGTCCCAGTGGCTTGATGGTACGCCTGCACCGTGGCAAGACCATTTGGGTGCACATTGCACCGGAAGGGCGCCAGCAGGGAAGAGCAGACCGAGATGAAGAACACCATGAATCTTGGGATCGTTTGTATAAGGTTTGCTTCTGGTCGGTTCGGGAGGTTGAGTCGCTCACTCTCGTACAAGGCAAGGTTCGTTGGTCTGAGTTGGGAGGTTTAGGGCTTCTCGAGCACCTCCCAGCGCCCCTCAGAAAGGGAGCCTCTGAGCTGGTCTGATACATTCCGAGGGTGTTATCAGTTAAAAGGGCCACGATGTCTTCAGTTGCCGTGCTCAAGGAGCCTTACGCTGAAGAACCCTCGAGTCCCCTGTTAATGGTGCCGGGAAGCAGGGTGCCGATGGTGCTGCCCAAGACGTTGAGCTGAAGGCCTGGGGCTCGGATCGACACACAACATCCTCAACTCTACCCGAAGGCACGGGGTGCCCCCACCAAAACTTAGAGAGAACCCTGACCCTAAAATTCCCTAAAAGAAAACTCAGCCGATGCCTGCTTGCCGGTTGCAGGCCACGAAGAGGAAGTGCACGAGGCAAGCCACAGAGAAGAGGACCAGCACCTATAGGGGAATGTTGAAAAACATGGGTTCCGTAGGGTCTGTAGGGCATTGCTTCCGAGGGATTTAGCCCCGAAGCCCTACAGGGTTTTTCAAGCAGCTCCCCGCCAAGAGGGTCCGCATGGTGAAGCTGGACACGGGGCTCATGGGCGCGACGCAACCTGGCAGTCAACCATCCCCTAAAGCAAACATTATAAATTGTGTTTGTATTGCAAATATCAAGAATACATTGTTGATAAGTGTTGTTTGCACGAAAATGACGCAAACACACTAAACAGTTTTTTATGACTCCTTAGAGTGGGTTCTCGTTTTTGCGCAGGCATCGAAATATGTGAACCAGTGTACCCTGTAGCGCATACGAAGAGCCCCAAGGCCCGAAGCCCCATCTCCACACACCCCGCAAGCCCTGAACAGCCTTGACAGCCCCAAGGCCTGAAATCTAGCAGAGCAGCTGATGGAGATCAGGTCGAGGTCGAAGGCAAAGAGGTCCAAAGATGCCAGGATCCCGGAAAAGGGCTCTCCCCACTCAATTTTGAACCTCGGGAGCTGCTCTGGAAGGAACATCACACTCATCACACTTTGAGCTTCAAGAGTCCAAAAGAAGCCTCGGAAAATTGGCACCCCAACTGCGAAGCAAGGGGGCTGCTGGATGACGGTGAGCTGCTGGATAACAGTGACCATCCTCAACGAAGGCTTTGCAAAGGCTATATCGACGGGAGGCCGTGGTTGAAACTTCGTAGAGGGGAGCTCTCAACCACTCTAACCACCATGCGGGTTTATGGAAGTACCTGACACGCAATCCTCTCAACTTAGGAAAGCGGGTGCCCAGCCATTTTTGGGCTTAGGCGGATGCTTCTCTTGACTTTGGCAGAAGCGGCTGGCCCAGCCCGAGCGCGGCGATAAGAAGGCTTCCTGCACGAGGCACGCCAACAGTGCCAAATGCTGGATGGAGAATTGGCAGCTGACAAGCAGGCAAGGTGGGGAACTATGGGGAACTATCTTGGCTCTGCGGAGGGCTTCTGGAGCCTCGGTAAGCCCAGTCCATGCGAAGGCCTTGCAACATCCAGCGTGGGTAATGTCTGGGTCTGGATATCAAGTATATAAGTATACGCCTTCCCTGAAACAACTCATGAATCTGTTTGTCCTGGCTGCGAGCTCTTCGCCCCTCTGCGCATTAGGACAAAGTAGAGAATGACAATGGCGCACACCACCAAGAAGCACACCTTAGTTCACTTCAGTTGGATCAGCGTTGGAGGTCCAGAACCTTGAAGATTGGAAGGCATTGATGCGCAGTAGGGTGCACAAACTGATTTTGTGAGTTTGCAGTGTTCGCTTTTCGCTACACCGCTACCAGGAAGCGCGAAGCTCTCAATATCTCTCAATCCAAGCCGCCACCACCAGAAGGAAGAAGTCCCCTGTTGCACAATCCGTGCACTCGCCACCGTCGGCGCGGGTCCCAGGCACACATTTGCTGCAGGCTACGCTGCTCGAGTCTCCTGGGCTGGTGCAGAAGGGTCAAAGCGAGGTTGCGCTCCGAACGGACTCTTCCCTTGGGGTTAAGACATGTAGACGAACATTCAATACGTCGCTACCGTCGTTCTGAGGCGTCTGGCCGGAAACTGTTCACTTGAAGCTGCGGACACAAATTGGACACCCAACAACGGTCTCGGAGCGCCCCCTAGCAATGCAGCACATGTATGTAAACGGAACCCAACAATGTAGAGATCCCAAATGCCTCCGGTGGGGAAGCCTCCCGTTCCAAATTGGGAAACCATGGGAAACCACTATAAGGTAGTTGTGCAAATCACAGTTTAAACCACACGTGGCGCCGGCAAGGGGGGGGGGGGGCTCAAGATGGTGGCACATGGAAAAATATTTTGGTGGCATTGGACGTTGTCTTAGTGCTTTTGATAAGGTTATTCCACTTCTCTGTCAGTCCAAAGTTGAACTACCGTCTGGGGTACCATAAAGCCTTTTTCGAACACATAGCCTTGACAGTTACTCAGTAAGCAACAGAGCAAGAGTTGCTGAGCTCTGAACACTCAAGAGAAGTAGAACTACATCAAAACGACAAGCCAAATCAACTTTTTCTGGACCGAAAAGTAGAAACAGCTTGTGGCAACAGCAGAATGGTCACTGTGGTTATCCAGGGGTGAAAGCATGGCCTCTCAGCAATACAGCAGAGTAAACACAGAAGTACTGACCATGCTGCTGAGCTCTGAACACTCAAGAACAACACTCCAGAACTAGAACTATATCAAAACGACAAGCCAAATCAACTTTTCCTGGACCGAAAAGTGGAAATGGCTTGTGGCAACAGACTGTGGGCCTCAAGGGTCTGAGGCTTGAGGATGGCTCCCCCTAGATTGGGGTGCTTCGAATTTTTTTAAAGAGGGTCGGGGGGGGAGGGGGGTGGGGGGTGGTTCATTATAAAAGCAGTGCAACAGCGCATGGGATTTTCATCGACTTGGGAACCCGTACTCCAAATCCCACTTGCACTTCCCGCCACGCGCGGTAGCACAAGCGACCGCATCCATAGCACAAGTGCGCGCTATGGCAACCTGTACTTGCGCCATGGATGTGGTCACTTGCGCTTCCGCGCCGCGCGCAGTAGCACTTAGGGGTGAAGGATCAAAAAAAAAATAAGCATCAAAAAAAAATAACCCCAAGGGATCAAAAAAAAAATAAATAAGCATCAAAAAAAAAAATAACCCATTTTCTTGGAATACAGCGGGGGGGGGGGGGGGGTTTGGGGCGGGGTTGGGGGGGGGGTTGGGGCGGGGGGGTTGGGGGTTGGGGCGGGGGGGTTGGGGGGGAGGGTTGGGGGGGGGGGGGGGGGTTGCGGGGGGGGGGTTGGGGGGGGGGGCGCAGCCCCCCCCCCCATTTGCAAACACAATGCTCGCACGATGGGTAGTAGTGGGTGGTGGTAGTGGTTGGAAAACCTTCTATTTTCTCGATCTTTTAATAGGAAAACCTCTATTTCTTCATATTCCCACAAGCAAACCTCTATTTTCTTCACGTTTTCATAGGAAACCTCTATCATCTCTATGTTTCCATCGGAAAACCTCTATTTGCATGTATTTTAAGAAAAACTTCAACTTTTTAGTATCCCAATGGCTTCAACAAGATTCATAAAGCACGCTTTGCAGTGGCACAGCTTGATAAAAACGCGGTGGGGTTGGGGTTGGCGCAGCCCCCCCCACCCCCCCCACACCCCCCCACTTGGCTTTGCAGCACGCTTTGCACAGCTTAAAAAAAACACAGCGGGGGGGTTGGGGGGGGCGCAGCCCCCCCCTTTTGCAAACAATGTTCGCACGATGCGTAGAAGTGGTGGTAGTGGTTGGAAAACCTTCTAGTTTCTCGATCTTTCAATGGGAAAACCTCTATTTCTTCATACTCCCACAAGAAAACGTCTACTGTCTTCACGTTTTCATGAGAAATCCTTTATTATCTCTATGTTTCCATCGGAAAAACTCTACTTCTACATGTTTTAAGCAAAAAACTTCCATTTTCTTTGCAAAGAACAATATATAATACATACTACATAATATATAAAATATACTATATAATGAATAATAAATAAAAAATTAATTAATAATAAATAATATTATATATTTTATATATTGTATATTATGTATACAGTATATATTATATATTATATACTTTATATTATGCATTATATGCAGTATATAATATGCAATATACAATATCTGATATGCAATATATGACATATAATATACAATATGCGATATATATATATATATATATTTATTTATTTATATTTATTTATTTATTCATATTTAACTTTACTTATTTATATACATACACATAACATATAATGTACGACCATATGAAAATATAAATATAAATATAAATGATATATATATATATGTATATATATAAATGTATATATAATATATTACACAGGATATAATGTTTATAATATTATATATTATATATTAATATAGTATATACGATATATATATATAATATATAATATATTAATATATAAATATAATATTATGTATAATATATAATAATATATAATATGTAATGTAATATATAATATAAATACAAATACATAGTACATACGACATAATAAATATATGATACATAATACATAATACATAACACATAATACATAATACAGAATACATAATATAAAACATATAATATATAAATTCATACATAGTACATAAGACATAAAACATAATATAGAATTCATAATACATAATTAATACATAATACATAATACATAATACAGAATAGGTAGTACATAATACATAATACATAATACATAATATATAATATATAATATATAATATATAATTTAATATATAATAGAAAATATATAATATATAATGTATAATGTATAGTATATAATAGGTAATGTGTAATGTAATGTGTATTATGTAATATGTATATATATATATGCACATACATACATACATATATATATACACACACACGTTGACCTTCACTATCGTGTGTATATAATGTATATTTATATTTATTGAGTTTTACTTATTTGTCTAATTTAATTATTTATTTATACGCATAGGACCCGCAGGACCAGGCGGACAGACAAGCAGACCAGAGGACCAGGGGACCACAAGACCAGGGGACCACGGGACCAGAGGACCACGGGACCAGAGGACCACGGGACCAGAGGACCACGGGACCAGAGGACCACGGGACCAGAGGACCACGGGACCAGAGGACCACGGGACCAGAGGACCACGCAGGTGGGCCGGATGGCTTTTTTTTTTTGATGCCTATTATTTTTTTTATTGATCCCTATTATTTTTCTTTTTGATGCTTATTATTTTTTTTTTGATGCCTATGCCGCACAAGTGAGCTTTGGAGTACGGATTCAGGATTTGGCAAGTGGCCGAAAACAGACTCTTTACAGTGAGGAAATTTGCTTGACTTGCGCTTACGCGCAGCGCGCGGAAGCACAAGTAGGTGAAAACGGACCATGTAGAACGAGGAATCTTAGTGGACTTGCGCTTACGCGCGGCGCACGGAAGCACAAGTAGGTGAAAACGGATCATTTACAACGAGGAGTTTTGGTGAACTTGCGCTTACGTGCGGCGCGCGGAAGCACAAGTAGGTGAAATTGGACCATTTAGAACGAGGATTTTTTGTGAACTTGCGCTTACGCGTGGCACGCGGAAGCACACGCAGGTGAAAACGGACCATTTAGAACGAGGAATCTTTTGGTTGACCTGCGCTTGCGCGCAGCACGCGGAAGCACAAGTAGGTGAAAACAGATCATTTAGAACAAGGACTTTTGGTTGACCCGCGCGCGCGGAAGCACAAGTAGGTGAAAACGGACCATTGAGAACGAGGAATTTTGGTTGATCTGCGCTGGGATCACGAGGTTGCACTATCCGATCCTTTGGAACGGGAGGCTTCCCCACCGGAGGCATTCGGGATCTTTAGAAACAAGACAAGCCGCAACACAAGCACAAGCCGCAACCCCCTCTAACATCTAAAGATAGCCCGAGGAAGTCCCCTGACACCACACAATGCCGAGCCCGGTCTCTTCCCAGCGCACAGGTCCCTGGGATACCGCCAGGGCATCGCGCGGGCTCTCCGAAGCACCGGAAGACTGCTCCGGGGTCCTCTGGAAGTGTCGGGCTTCAAGTTTCCGAGGCTTTCAGAAAGCAAATCCCTTCTAGTAACTGCGGCTTGAGATTGAGGTCTGAGGCACAAATCTGAAGCCGACAGCCCTCCTAAACCCTTTTCGAAATTCAACTGGGCTCTCTTTCTTCCTGTCTAGGGAGTGCAGGACTTCGTCCTCCTCGGTGGAGAAATACCCTGGAAGCAGCTCCAATTGATTGGACCCAGGGCAGCTGGATCCAGTGATGCATGGCTCGCCTTGGAAACCAGGAATCCACGCAGGGATGATTGGGTCATGGCATGTGCTCTGGTAGGAATTGCAAAGGTTCAGTTGCGCTCCGTTAGCAGAATCATAGTTTTGGTTGTGGATTTCCTGGGTAACGGTTGGGTTCGAAGCATTTGGTTTCAGGGAGCCTGTAACCACCTGACACATTCTATCCACTGAGATGGCCCTGACCCACCCAGAGTGCTTCCCCATTCTCGGACAGGGCGCAGCGGTCTTGGAAGAGGAAGAAGCCCTCGATGCAGGTGCAATATGAGATGGATGTTGCCCCCTGAACCTGCAGAGTCACGAAGCCTAGAGTTTAGGAGTTTGGGGGTGTCAGGGTTCCATGCTTGTTTGATGTCGTTTCAGTCTTGGAGGTTCAACTAGGGCTTGGAACATCACGGTGGGCCCTCATGGAGATAATTGCCGGTAGAAGCATTGACCAACCCTCCGACTTAAAGGACAGCCATTGTGAGAGAGGCGGAGGAACCAACGACCCGTGGCTTCGCCAACGGACGTGCCGACAACTGGCGCTGAACCGAAGAAGACAAGTGTGAGAAGTGAGGATGGAGCGCAGGGCTCACGGTTGGAAGGGTGTACTTGGTAGAATGTGGGATCTCTGGCTCAACACCTGCACGCGAAACACAGCCATGTGACAACGAAGGAACCACATGCAACCCAAGTCCCCAGAAGTATGCCAGAAGGCAGGTGCGGCAGGTGTCGTTTGCAAAACAGTCACTAGTTCTCCAGCACAGCGCGCCTGGATCCACTGCGTTTGCCCTGTAGTAGTCACGGCTTTACTGGTCGTCCACAAGGCAATCTGGTTGGTGTGGTTGCCGCACCTGGTTGAAATCACCCCCCACAAAGAGCTTGAGCTTCAGCGACAAAGTTCGAAGTGTAATTCGGGTTCCGGGCTTGACAATGTTTTTTGCTTCGTTGCCTTTTGCAGACATTTCAAGGTCTTGCCAGGGTTTGGCTTCCACTCCCGAAGCCCTGAACCCGTGTGCCTAAAATCAGTTCTTCGGCTTCAGAGTTTCAGGGACCTAGCATTCGGGAACCGAGGTCCGGCCTCATCTGATCCTTTAAGAAAAAGCCCTAGACTCAGACAAGTCCTGGTGCCAAGCTGCTGGCTGCAGGCCGTCGTCCGGCTCCCGCTCGCATACTTCCCCAAAGGGCCTGAGAACTACAGAGGTCACAAAGAACAACCGTAACTTCGGAAAAAAGACCAGAAGGACACTAGACTTTCTTATGAACTTCCCACCCGTACCACGATGGGCATACAACTCGCGAGTCCGGGAAGCTACGCCCGCGGAAGGCACTCAGGGGCCAAGTTTGTAGGGCAAAGCGATGAGAACTGAGGTTGAGAGTAGTGCCTCCTAGGGCCACCAGCTGGGGTCTCGCCTCGTGTGTGAGAGCGACATGGCACCCCCTCAAGGTTTCAAGAAAGTTGTCGCAGGGTCTGACGTGGGAGTGTGAGCTTACATAATATCCAGACTAGAAGGTTCGAAGGTGTGCGGCTCTCGCAAAACATGAGGGGTCTATATACAGAAAATACAGCTTAAACCCGACCAGCAAAGCGGGCTAGACCCAAAAACCCCCCAACGCGAGCAGGGCTAACCTTAAGCAGCCTAGCAGTCCCTCCAGAAGAAGTGCCCAAAGAACTGTGCACAGCCCTGGAAGACCCCAATGCTACGATGCCGAGGCGGCAGGGCTCACATTCTGTAGCCCCCTCTTGAGGCGCCAGGGAGCCTCCAAGTCTGGTGCTTGGACTGCTTAGGAGGCTGTGCGTGCTTTTGTTGTTTGGGGGGGGGGAGGCCTTTCTGGATGTCTTTGCGAACTCCAGGCGTGGCTTCACTGCAAGAAAATACCATCTTTTCAGCTTGGCTGCTTGGGGTCTCCTGGGGCCTGTAGGGTTCAACCCTTCACACCACAAGATCTGCCTAAAGGCGCTCAGAAACAATTGGTTCCTCAGCCCTTCCCGGCCTGGCTCACAAGGAATGCACTGCGATTCTCCAGGCAGTGCTTGGCTCGTTCCAGGCTCGCAGGGGATGCAGACTCGGGTAGCCTGGGCCTCAGGGATTGCTGAAACCAAGTCAACAGGCATCAATTCTCACGACGTGCAGCTTGTAGAGTTGTTCAAGCTGATCTCCCAGTTCGTAAAGCTCAGTACCCCTCGATTTGAGACCACGTGCGAATTGACAGCCGGACCCACTACCAACGTCCCGTCTTGAAGCTCCGGACACCCTCTCGGTACACTAGGTTTGTACTGCAAAAGCCGAGGTTGGACGGGCCACGGTGCTATGTTGGCGACAAAAGTCAACTTTCCAGGCCGCAAAAGCAATGACAGTTCTGCCCTTCCCAAGAACTATAGACCATGATAGACCCCAGAATGATGAACGAACATTCTGCACTTCGCAAGCACACACACACAGGCTCGGATAGGGCACGGGACCGAAGTGAGAGCACGATTTGCGCTGCGACATACGAATTCCGATCCCTTACACTGGACGCACGAAGAGAACTCAGCACGTTCCTCACAAAAATGCATATGACCCAGGTGCCGAGGACTATATTGAGTATGGAAGGTGCACGTACCCTCCGCGCAGCCAAAAGTTCGAAACTTGCAATGGAAACCACGTTTTCGTCGGTAGCCGACAGAGCAGTGGGGATTCAGAAGTCCAAAAAAACCCTCTTGCCCGGGACATTGGAACCCCATGGTGTTTTTGCATACTGTCGGGGGAAGAAGCTCTAGAAGCTTAAATCATTCTTTCCCGCCCCAACATGACGCTCCGGACGCGCTGCTGGGCACTGTACGGCACAGACGTCTTCAGTGCCCTGTCAAGACAGCAGCAAACTAGTTCAGGCAGTTGATTCAGCTGAACCACAGAAAACCCAAGCACTGTTGACCAAGAACCCTGGGGCTCGAAATTCGTTTGAGGTTCAGGGATTTGACTTATAAGCCCCAAGCAATGAAGTGTGCCTCCGATTCGGCCGAGTAGGTGCCCACTGGACAGAACCTTGGATTCTTGTGAGGTCCTCGAACTTTAAGGCTCGTTCCAAAGAAGCTCCCAAGGGTCTTACCGAGAACTACTCTGTTCCGGTCCACTTGCAGAACGAAAAAAAGTGTAGGCGCAGGTACCGCATGTACTGAACTCATGTTCCGCAACGGCTCTCCAGGACTCCATGGCTCTTCCAAAAGCTCCTTACGGCCTTGCGGGGCTCTGTCCATTCAGCCAAGGGGCTGGCAATTCACTGCCAAACCCCGCGACTGGACGAAGTTGCCAGCATCATCCACGAGGCCCTTGCCGGCAGAACACTCCGTCTCATTGGGTATCCAAGCCTCACGGGGCAACTTGATTGGGATCACTCCAGGGTAGTTGGGGAGGCTTGTCAAGTTCGGGACTCGGAGCGTGTCATCTTAGAATATAGATACTGTATTTGTTACGGGAGGCAACAATGCAATCGCCTGTGGCCCACAGCCTGGGACAGAGGATTTAACAAGAGGCAACGAGTGCTTCGGGACGGGAACAACCCGTCTGACGACAAGGCCCTTGCACACTCGGCCGTCTTCCGCTTGCTTCTAATGCAGTCGCAATTCGTCTGCGATTTTCACGGAAGATCAGATGTCTCAGACGGTTTACCTACATTGAAGTCTGTTCGATGTGTATCGAGGGAAACAGACCCGGCAGCGGTCGTCGTCTCGCAGACATGAAGCAGAGGAAACGCTTCCTAAACAGATGGGGGAAGGAAAGAAAGGATGTCGATGCTTTCACGAAAATGGCCTCGGCATCGAATCTTAACATGTCCAAGATGTGAACACATCTGACAGGACTGTGTACTCGTCAGAGTTGCCAGCCCGATCTGCACAACAACCGCAAATCAAGCCCTATAAATTCAATCAGTTCAACCGCATGGCCTTCCACAGCGGCTCGTTGTCCTTCAGCCATTCGCAGGCCGTTTGCCAAGTGTTCGGGTTCGGCGACTCCACATGGCGTGAGAGCAAGTCCATGACTTCCTCCTCGGCTTTAGGGCAAGGAGTCAAAGAAGAGAAGTGTAGTACAACATGGATACATTGCGGGGGGTGTCCACTCGACAGTACACATTTTGACCTTGTGATCTATTTTTGCTGAAGCTTTGGGGCTGGCAGGCCTTAAGGCTTGGGGTTGAGGGACTTTGCTCAGGGTTGAGGGCCGGGGTTAAGTTGCTCCCCAACACTGAACAGCACGCACCTCTTGATAAGCCCATCTTGAGAAATCCAAGCTTCGAAGGTCATCTGCAGATTCCGCGCCACTGCGAAGGCCTTGTCTGCAGCCTCCCTGAAACCAGCCTTGATCTCCAAACGATTGAAAGCGATTGGGGGCTTCGGTTGCAAAACTGTCGGTGTGGGCCGAAGAATGACCGTCAGCACCCGGACAGTCCTGACGTGAATGGCAGCAACCCGGAATCATCAACGAAAGGCACTGTCAAAGCAGAGCCTTTTGGGCCCGGGAAATGGGCGCGGAATCAGATCAGACTTTTTGTTCGGGGGATTTCTTTGTTCTAGGTTTTGTGTTTCTCACCTAGGCGCCGTGCGCATTCCGTATCGCAAATGACGACCAAGCTTGCACGGCTTTAAAAAGGAGGTGAGGGGGGGGAGGGGTTGGAGGGATGGGGGCTTGGGGGGATGGGGGGTTGGAGGGGAGCAACTCATCCCCCTCCCCCCTTCCGCACCAGTGCAACGCAATAGTTTGCATGTCGGGTTTGGAAAGGATTCAAAAATGGGTTTGGGAGTCCTTCCTCATGACGTCATGATGGTCCTTCCTCTTCCTTCTCGGTCCTTCTCCTTCCGGGAAATTAGGCCAGGGCTACTAAAACATGAAGTCCGACAAGAATGTTAGCACGTTGTACGCTACGATCACATCACCTAACATCAACTGGGGCAGCCCCCCCCCCCCCCCCCCGGTCCAACCGTTGAAAGCAATAACCCGAAGCACAACAAATAGGCTTGCAGATTGTTGAGGGCAGGCGAAGATTTGCAGTCCAGATGAGACGCACGGAGTTTCAAGATGTTTCAAGTGACAATGCCTTTAGGGCTGGACCGAAACCGAATATCTTGTCGCCTGATACCTCCCAGCCATCACTTGCTAAGGCACAGCAGCCCACTTGGACAGAACGGTATTCGTCTTCATGGTCTTGTAGATGCTGTTGGCATACCTTTGGCTAAACTTGGCTTCCTCTGGACTGAAGCATTGATGAACAAATTGGTCAGAGCAGCAAAACAGTGCTTTTGTCCATGTCTTTCTACAGCTTCTTTCCCATAAACACAAAAAAACTGGCGCCAAGCACATGCTGGAAGGTACTCTGATGGCCGATGGTCCGGAAAAATCACCTGCGACGGCTTGTCCAGGAAGAAGGTGGTATCCGGAATCCACGTGTACCTGAGCCCTAAACCCTCCTAGCTTATAAACTCCACGTTCTGGAGCCTGCAAAGCCTAGAACACGTCTCAAACCCGTCGCTCTTAGCTAATTATGCCGAGCACGAAGCAACCAAAGCCGTAAGACCTCGCTCCGCATACCGACACCCTTCCACCTAAGTCCCAGCCGCAGCAGGCTCTGCAAGTCGCGGTTCAAGCTCACGTAGTCCCCATCCACTGCTGTGGCGAGTGCCAGTGGCATGTTGTGCCTTTGTTGCAGGGGGTCTCAGGATGCAGAGGGCGTTCTGTATGCGTCCATACATGTATGCATATGTAGAGAGAGAGAGAGAGAGAGAGAGAAAGAGAAAGTGAGAGAGAGAGAGAGATGCCCCTGCACATTGACGGCTTCCAGGTTGCCAAAAGGCTTGCTGCATCATCTCCGGCATCCCCCAAGCCGTGAAGGGCATGATGACAGGCACACACCTGTTGGGCATTGTCGGCGAGGGGTGTAAGCGGAGGACTCTCACGGTCTCGGTTGAAGTGGTTGGTGTTGGGCCTGATTTAATGTGTTGCGCCCTCCCAAACTTTAAACAAGTCCCCCGGATTTTATATGACCCCTTCGCCAGATTGACCAAGACAATTCGCTCATACGGGCTTTCAAAAGGGGAATTCTTGGTTTCGGCTTGGTTGGGATTCCGGGTTTTCGGGATCTTGGAAAGAAGGCCTGTCTCTTCTAAGGTTCAAAGGGCCGGCCTTGAAGCCAAGAGGCCACATCGGTTGGATCAAGTCGGTTTAAGAACAGACCCTAAATCCTTGAAACAAAAACACCCCCGGAACAACTTGACTTCGCAGAAAGGAGCCCAGTCCCCCAGACAGTACGGTCCTGAACGGCAAACTTGACTTGATGTTTGCCGGGGCCCCTAGTAAACAGGGTGGGTAGAGTGTGCCGGTCCACTCCAGATGCAGGGTCATCTCCACGTCGTATGGAAGGATTGGGATGCTTGTCTTCCGGAGTGCATGTTTGCGACTAACATGTGTTGCAATGTTTCGACTGGTCCCCAGAAGGCAAGGAAGCTGGGCTGTCCACAAACGCTCAGCTTAGATGGGGGAGGGCGGGGAGGGGGGGGTTCTCTGCGACTTCGAAAGCCCAAGCCGCTTGGAGGTGTTGTGCCGGCACGCGGGCGCGAGCCACCATCGGTCCATGTAGCAGCTGAGCAAAGTCGCCTCTTTGGTCCGCGGCTTCGGGCTCTGAATACATTATTCCAAGTTGGAGGAGTATAACCTGCAGTGGCGAAATCAAATTGGAGCAAACAACGTCCCAGCCACGCCATTCACGTCCTGCACGCCGCCAGCATCGCCAGTCTTTGCCTTTGCTGCGCACATCGAGCCCAGCAAGACAGAAGTGCGTTTACAATCCTCAAAGAGGGTTGAAGATGTGGCAGGTCTTGGGCATTCCCAACACGTGCCGACACCCCGCACGATCCCCTTTCGTAATAAAGTAAGGATCGGTGTCACGGCTTTCTTGCCTTCAGGTTGGCTGTGGAGCCGTACGGTTACAAGTCGAGCCAGGTGCGGTTTGGTCTCTCCCCATGCATAAGGCTGCGTTTAGTAACCCGGGCAAAAACATCTGCTGATACTAGACAGGTTTCAAGATATAGGGCCGCGATGCCGGGGTATCCCACCTCGGCACTGCCACCCCCGCGCAAGCGGGTTTGGGGTTGACGGGCCCGTCTCTACCTCGCATCCAGCCTATACGCAAACACTCTTTAAACTTACCACTTTAAGCCCTGCATCCCGACATCCGGACCTCGGCACTGGTGGCGCAGGTCTTGAGACGGCTCTGGCTCACCCCTGCCAATGGCGCCGTGTACTTGGATGGATCCTGAGCATGTGGAGGGCATGTCGGACGATAGTTTAGTCTGCTGGTACACATTGTTTAAGGCTCGAGGGGAAAGGGCGTCTGATCCTCAGAATCCCTGTATTCCGAAGAAGCCCCGAAGCCCCCTTATGTTAGCTCGGACTGGACCCGCATCCATACTTGCATGACTCAATGTTGGTAAGCCCCGTGTATCTGCATGGTCGTGGGCTTGGGGGGAAACTGAAAAGCCAGGGAACATACCAGGAAGCATTGAAGGACCTGAAGAAATCCAAGCTCAGCCCGCTGTCTTCCAGAGCGGCATCCATGGAGCCTCCGGGCAAAAAGGGCGCCCTGGCGCTGCGAAATTACGGTTGAAGCCTCGTATGAAGCCTTCATGGTACCCCCATGTAATTGAGGGTTTATGGGAGGGTGGATGTCAGCTCTTGAAGCCGCTTCGACAGGAAACTGCTCTACTCAATTCCCCCCTCGTGGAGCAGAAGCTGAAGTACTTGAAAGCACAAAACCTTCGCTCCCTCGTTTTCTGCCTCCGAGAGCGAACATGCCCGACTTGCCCTCGTATCCCATGCTACCCAGGTCCACAGGTGAGCCGTAGGGAACAAGGTCCACCAGCCACCTGGCAAATCTAAAGCAAGGTGAGCTCATGCAAGGCCTCTGAAAGCCTGCCAGGTGTCCTGTATTGGGGTGGCTTGTCACAGGTATATAGACAACGCATGGCGCCGCCCGGATGCACTATGTTCTCTCCTCTTCCTCGTACAGATAGGACGACAGCTGGGTCTAATGGCAAAAGCGTTCAACCGTCTCTTGCGGCTTGTGGCAGTGAATGTTGGGATTGATGTTGCGGGCTCGTTTGATCAACCTTGAAACCCCCTGAGTTTGGCCAAGCACGACCCGTACTGGCTGTGGGCGATGACCTTAAAATCCTGAATGCATTTTGACACTCTACAAGAACCCTGCCCCCACCGAAGTCCCCACACAACCGAGGAGAAGATGAACTACCCCACCCTCCGTTCAAACAAAGGGAATCTACTCGACCGAGTCACTGCTGATTCCATGGTGAGCCAGTGAGCCAGTTCCTGCAGTTTCCATATGCAGAAACAAATAGAGACATTCTTCACGTGAAGCTGCCCGTACTTAACTAATCCCGAAGGCGACAAGAAACAGGGTAAGTTAGAATCTCAATTGCGCGCGATTTCTGGGGTCGGCTTTCCAGTGGACTCAGTGTGCAAAGATCGGTGAGGCTCCAGGCGTACCTCTGAGATCGTCTGGCGTTCTTGGCCAGCGTAGCTTGTCGTCGGGTCAGTATGTGCATCGGGCGGTGTCGGCGTATCAACACACGGACGACTTTGCCACTCCTGTGTATGCAGCGTTAAGTAGCCCCACGGCAGCGCCGCCTCTGGAAAATCTGTCTTATACTTTGCGTTTTCAATCCGAAGCTCAGAAGCCGCACGTGCGCGAAATCGCTTCAGGCTCGCAGTCTGCAGGAATAGCAACTTGGGCCCTGAACGTCGTAGCCCACAACCATTCAGGACCCAACTCCCAGTATTAATGCCCCGAATCCTCCGCAGAATCCTCAACCCCACACAACACATGCACATTGTTTGCAAGTTCAGTCCTTTTTTGATGAAGCTTTCGCTCTCTCCCTCCCTCTCTCTATGCATATATGATATATGAATGTCTGCATTTGTTACTGAAGTTCTCAGGCTTGAAACAGCAGCAGCATAACAAGGGAACTACACATCACTGGCTCACGGCAGGACTCTCAAAGGACACGTGGAAGCGCCGGGGAGGACCACAGTTGCCGGTGATCGCGAACCCCGCGTGGTCGCAGCCTGCCAGCCTGGTTGCATTCCGGTTGCATTCTGGGCCAAATAAAGATTCTGCAAAAGAATTCCTCCTGAACCTCCGGGCACCTTGAAAACTCCACGGAGCCGCCGCAAACCCGAAACCAAAATCTCTCAAAAGCCTGTAAGAAAATGAAACTCTAGAGCTCTTGTGAGCGCGGGGGGCTTGCCCAAGATCAGCTCGCTGGCAGGACCCGTCTCCGAATAGATCTTGAAGCCGAGCTTCTGAGGCCCCGAAATGCGATACTTAGGTTTCTGGCAGTCTCTGGTGGTCGTTCTTGGCTCACATTGGACATGTTTCGGCTGTTCAGGGGGTAGGCGCTCGGAAATCGAAATCCGAGAAGAGAAAAATGAAGCACATCACACATCCCAAAGTGGCATACTTGGAGTCCTAGAACAATTACATTCAAGCCCTGCATGGCCCTGCACCCGACCCAGCGTCCTCCGAGGCGAGGATGCCATAAATGTTGGACACGATGCCGGACGAGTCCCAGGCGTTCTGCCAGATGCCCAACGGCATGCTCCTTTCAAGTATTCAAGAAGTGGAGGATGCGAGTTTGAGCAAGGTCGCGGAAAGCGAGTTCCACGATTGTTCGGGGTAACATGGCAGGACCGGATCGGAGAGTGCCTGTGGTGCTATGCGTTCGCTGCTTGGGTGATGTCAATGTCATGCTTTCCTTTGAGTTGCCAGGCTGAGTCTGGCAACTATATTGGGCTTGCTTGCCAGCTGTATTTCACCAGAAGCCGAGTTGAAGAGGGTTGGAGGTTGTCAGGAGCTAGATTGAAATCTTGGACCCTTTTTCCGCGAGACCGTTCTGAAGGGCTGTTCCACTGACTGCTTCTCCGATGCTTCAGGAGACGAGGCGGTGGGAGGATCCGCGGTGTGTTCATGGCATGTTTACGCGCCGTTTCCTCCAAAGAGATGCTTCTTTGGGCACGACAATGGCAGCAGTCACGTCGTGTCAAGTCATTCTCGAACGCTTCGCAAGCCTGGATCCGTTGACCTGGTATGCCTCCGGTGCATGCTCCAAGCGGCAACGGTAGCAAGAATCCCCGTTCTCCCTCCCTCGCATCGCAATGTCCAATGCATCAGCGGTCCGCTGGCGACGGGGTCGCCATGCTCCTATAAGTGCTGTCGCTCGCGTATTCATCGGAGTCTCCATGAAGAATCCTAACTTGAGATAAGTAGACAACAGTTGCAATTGTGCCGGGTTCTTCCTCGGATGGCGTTGCTCGCTTCCTTCAGCCGCGCGTTTTTGTTGTAAGATCTGCGCTCGTGCCTGTTTTGCGATGCTAGAGCTATGCTCGTCTGTGCTTGCTTTACGCAAGCGCGGACGAGGCAGGCCATGGGTGCATGGAAGGAGCGTGTGGAAACCACGAGGAAGTCTCGAAGCACGTATGAACTAGTCTCCTCAGGTGATGATGATGATAATGATGATGACGATGACTTTGATCAACGGTCAGGGCGTTGTGAAAATACTGTGTGTTGGGCTAGACGTCGTGTAGCGTAGTGGACATAGTCTGCAGCAGACATGTCAGATCTAGAGGGAGGATGCTGAGGCCTCCAGGCCCGAAGTCTGAAGCACTGAACCCCAAAGCCGATCCAAGGCACAGCCCGTCCAGGCTAATGTTGAAGCGGTCCTGTACAGCACTTGGAGCAGGGGAACAATCTCTGCAGCGTTTCCTAGCTTTTCACTTACATCACCTACGACTTTCTGGCTCCAGATGGCTTAGCGGGAAGCAAGTCCCACTCCACCCCTTCAAAAATCCCATTTTGGGTTTCGGGAGGGGTTATCAAAGCAATCACTGAGGCGCAGGGTAGGAAATCTGCTGCGCTCAAAACGCTGATCCGAATAAGCCTGCGCTGAAAGCACTCAAATTGACACACATTGACATCGCAGAGGCCTCATCGGGAATGGCATCCTGGAAGCACGTCTGTGACTCGACTCTCGCCAGGACCTGGGGGGGCCGAGCCAAGTTCATGCCCATGCAAAGAAGTTTCGTGAAGCCAATAGAACCATCAAACACCCAACAGGCCAAGCAGCACCAAGGGCGCAAAGTAAGGGAAAAGCGGCCCGCATAGCAATACAGCTGGGATCGTGGACATGCGCACTTATTCGTACACTTGATCCGCTCATGCCCGCAGGTTCCGCAAAAGCCATGCAGCCACCCTGAACCTGCTGAGCCCTCAAAAATGAAGCCGGCCATGCCCTCAAGTACTGTAACCCAAGTGCTCAAAATCGGATGCCCCGAAACCTCAACATCAACACAGTAGTGGCGGTGACAGTCGTTGTCAAAGCAAGAATCCAGAATCTCAAGCCTAAGCGAACACACAGCATTGACACAAAGGAAAACACACACACACACAAAACACACACACACACACACACACACACACACACACCTCTTCGGAACCTCTTCGACATCACCCCCAGAAGCCCAAAGCTGAAAAGACTCTAAAGACATCCAAGCCACCAACACACACACACACACACACACACATGTGCGCAGTTACACAGGGTTTGTTCAAGGCACAAACGGGCATTTACAGGTGCAGAGCAGAAGCACCTGCAAAGCCATCTCAGCCTGCAACCCTGAACCATGCACCCCAGCAGCAGCGACGTCGTGGAGCCCCCAAGGGAAGTGAGGCCCAGCGCTGGCAAACCATCTGGGCCCTGGTGCTCTGTTGCGGCTGCTTTTGGCAATGCTACCGGGGCACGCGGCGAGAGGCGTTGTGTTGCGATTCCGGGGAAAGAGCTGCGAGTCTGCGAGATTGTTAGTGGGCGAGTGCTCACCTCGCTTGAACAGTCTTCTCGGGTTTCAGGACGTGCTGGCTTTGGCGCGTGGGGGTAGATGGCTTGGGAGCCGTCTGGCTTCGAGGTGGCTGACTAATTAGGCTTGTCTGGTGCCGATAGTTAGCGTACCGTTCTCCCTGTCGCATGAACCGTGAGTCTTGATGCATAAGGCCAAAAGCCTCAAGGCTGGTAAAGGTCTCGGGGTTCAGGTGTGTTTGAGGCTTACCTGAACTTACCCCAAGCCTCCCAACCCCACAAAACTTTCAACTTTCATAAATCCATCTCTTGAAAAAAGGCTCGGCAAAGCTGCCTCGAGTAGGGTGGCCCTGGCGTCTTCTGCCAGCCGGCGAGTCGAAGCCTCTCGGATTTGCCAGACTGAGAGCCTAGGGCACACCTGTTCTAACCCGGAATAAGCGGAATATCAAAGGCCGAACGTGCAGCTGGGAGAAAGGGGCCAGAAGCTCGAGAACTGACCGTGTGGGATCTTCAGGGATGGCCGTAAAGTGACTCCGCTGTTCTCTTGAACCACACCTAAAAACAAGGCTGGCCTCGAGCCAGGGGACACTCAGGGCATGAAGGTGGTCACCTGGAAGCGACTGGGTGATCAACCCGTGGGAGGGCAGAGCGTTGCAGACCGTGGATTACCTTGCACGCGTGTGGTCAAAGGTGGACCGCTGCGGGGTTTCGATTCCTGGGGCTTTTGGGCATAGGGAAAGTCGGGCAAAGTTCATGTGCTTATCGAACTCAGGGTCCTTAGCCACTAATCCGAGCATCTGTTTAAGTGATGCCTCCACATTTGAAGAGCATGTTTCCGTCGAAAATCCCGCGGAAAGACTACTTTCCATTACGGGGGTTCTCGTATGGGCAAATACAACCACATTGAAAGAAAATCTCCGGGGGGCCAAAAATCTGTCTGCAAGCTTCTGTCTTCTTTCAAGTTTCCAAGGCTTTGTCTAAAAGCTGAGGCCCTTCAGAAAGCTAGGGTTCTTATTTGATGCCTGACTGGACGAGAGAAGTTTTCATTCTTTCCTGAGCTACCCCTCATATGGGCTCTGCCCGGCAAAGGCAGCCACACTTTTATAAAAAAGGGACCACAATTATGGGAGGCCCTGGGGGGGGGGGGCGCCCTGGTCCTGTAGTCTTCGAAGAATCCGAAGCTTAAGAAGAAAAGTTTCAAGGAAGCCGAAGCTTTTGCTAAAAGCTGAGGCCCTTCAGAGAGCTAAGATTTCTTATGTGATGCAGTGATGCCTTACTGGAGGAGAGAAGTTTTCATTCTTTGCTGAGCTACCCTGCCTTTCTTATTGCGATGGGGGGGGGGGGGGGGGGGGGGGCAATTAAACAGATGCTCGGATTACGCTGATTACGCACATTCTCGCACAATGGCAGCACACATCTCACAAAAAGTTGCTTTCCGGCATCCCCATGCACAGTCTTCCTTTGGGGCCTCTTCGAGCTTCGGGGTCTGAACCTTGCCCTCAAGTGCCGCTGCACCGATTGCAGGGTTGATTAAGCCAGTGGCGTCGAAATTCTGCAAGGAGGCCTGCCACCGAACCTGAAACACTAAGAATCCGAGCGTCGGATCTGCACAATGGCATCCGGGGGCAGTGAGCCGTTGGCATGCAGTGCTTTGGCATGCTCTGCGATCCTCCATAAGCAGCCAGCTTAAGGAGCACTGACTGAGGAAGCACTGCCCCCGGAGACATGCTTGTTGGAAGAATTCCACTCGTTGCAAGTGCCCATGTCCTCTGCGACAAATCCTCATCCTCCTCGGGCAACAGCGCTGAAGAAAGCATCGCGAGCTCCTCCGCTCGGAAGAAAGCTGCAGAATACGACGCGCTAAAGCCCACAGGCCGTTCCTCTAGCGAAGCTTTAATGAATAACACCATCCCCCCTGTTGACTCTTTCACACAACGGTCTGGTCAGTAGCATTCCGCAGCTCCTTGCCCTCAAGCGCAGTGACCTTCCCCACAGCCGCACGTCGCAGCGCCGAGAGCGCCTTGGCTTGGGGCAGCCCAGCACCTTCCATGGAGCTCACGAGGGTGGTGTCGGGCGATATGGAGCCGTTTGGTGAACAAGAGTATCACTCTCTCTCTCTCTCTCTTCTCTCTCTTCTCTCGCTCTTCTCTCTCTCTCGCTTGCTTGCTTGCAGCGCGCGTTCTCTCTCTCTCTCTTCTTTCTTTCTCTCTCTCTTCTCTCTCTCTTCTCTCTCTCTCTCTCTCTCTTCTCTCTCTTCTCTCTCTTCTCTCTCTTCTCTCTCGTCTCTCTCTTCTCTCTCTTCTCTCTCTTCTCTCTCTTCTCTCTCTTCTCTCTCTTCTCTCTCTTCTCTCTCTTCTCTCTCTTCTCTCTCTTCTCTCTCTTCTCTCACTTTCTCTCTCTCCCTCTCTCTCTCTCTCTCCCTCCCTCAAACTGCTTGAGAAGTTCCTTTTTGCCACCCACCTAGCACTGTCGCTTGAGAAGTTCGGGGTTCAGGGGGTATTCTTCTGCGATACATCCATGGAATGCCGCCTCTGTGGCGCTGCCAGGTGATCGCCAAGGCCCACGCTCCTGCAGCCAATTCCTGCCGGGCTTCTCGAACCCAAGGCCCCGCCCGACCCAAACCTCAAATAATCCTGAGGGCAGAATCTAAACCCCAAAAGTCCCAAGGTCTGGTGATCATTCCATCGCGACTTATCCCCCTGATACTAACTATGTGCAACTACACTGGGTCCTTGGGCTTCCACGATGCGAATTCCTCGGGCGTACACCGGCCAGCAGCCTGGGAGCAAGGCATTGGGGGAGGGCCAGGGCACCGACTTCGCAATTGCATGAAGCGGGAGAATTACAGAGCTCGAATCGTACGTTGGGGCGTGTACTCCAGCTTGTCGAAAACTATCCCTCGCAGCCCCTTAAAGAACGAAGCCCATCGGCTTTATAAAGCCCAAAAGACACAGGGTTCGCAGCTGCAGTTTGAAAATGATTGTTTCAAAGGTGCGAGGGTTGGGCAAGAATCGGGGCTTTGAGACTTGGCAGCTCTGCGTCGGCCAGGGAAACATAGGATACTGAAACTCGCCTGCAGCCCTCACCTTAAACACTGCCCAGGGCCAACTCTCCAAGTCTAGCGGTGCAAAAGCATCTTTGTCGTATTCGATAGAAATAACAACGCTTCCGCGCCCAAGCTTCCGCGGACCTTCCGCAAGAAGCCGCGGGGGATTTCTGCGCTTGTCATCGGGTTAAACAGGTGTAGGGGAAAAGAAAGTGCTTCAGCAACATGCTTTCGTAAGCAATGAGCTTCCGCCAAGGTTTCCACAAGCTTCGGCCACAGCAACTGGCATCATCTAAGTTCCCGTAGTATGGAGGTTATTGAAACAAATAATCCCTCTCAATGAACTCCACAAGCCCCCTGTCCAACCTGGAGAGCGCCCACAAATTCCTCCAAGGTGTCCGGCAAGGATGCAACCTGAGACTCCAAAGGCTTGGGCCTTTGGCTGTCCAAATCAAGTCGAATGTTAGGGGCCCCTGATGCAGGAACGGCTCTCTTCAGTTGCAGGCTACATTGGGTAGCATTTGGGGGGCATTGGAGTTTGGTCTGGGAGTTCCTGCGCATACACTTTCCGTCCACTTCCCAGAGGGTTCACCGTCGCAATAACCCTCCATCTCGCAACGAGCTGTGCAGGTTGCGGGCCTTGAGACATGGGTTGACTTGGGGTGGCAACAGGGTTGCCCGACACGGGATTTAGTTTTCAGTAGATCCGCAGCCCCAGGCCCCAGCGCCGTGCATCTCATTCGGAAGTACATGAGCGGTTGAGGATGGCACTTTTCAGAACCCGCCGGAGCAATGTCGAACCCCATGGTTTGCTTCAGCTTTGCTGACTGCTTGGCGCTTTGCCAAGCTCCCAAACATCCCGAACCTGGCGACACCCTGCTGAAGCACGTGGCCCCCAACGGGCCTCACGACAAAGCTCACACCCTGCCACCTATTGAATCCCAACGCGGAGTTACTCACCGGAAGCCAGCGCAAACCTCTGGCTCCCCAATGGGCCGGGGGACCGCCAGGGCCCAGAGAACGTTGGCACACTCTTGCGGGAGGAACCTAGGAGTCCGACTTGGCCAGGTTAGGCAGGATTGTGGCTTCAGGGCTTGAGGGTCTTGGGCTTCAGCACCTCGCAGCCCACAGCTAAGCCTCCGCGATATTGGAAAAACACAAAGGTTCACCATGCTTTCAGATAAGAACGAAGCAATTTTTACATAGTAGAATATGAAGATGTAAATCTGTCCAATAAGAAATTCGAAATTATGTTGTGTATATACATATAGAGCAGGGTAGTGAGGGTCTACAGGGTGCAAGCGATGAGCTGCTTCGGCCTGTAGGCATCAGGCCTGAAAACCGATAAGAAGCTCAGAGCCTAAAAAGCGCCTGAGCTTTGTCCGGCTCGAGGTCTTTGCAAACCCGACCTAACAAGAAAGATACACTCGTGATCCTAAAACGCTGCATCCCTCCTCACGTCTCTAAACGATAACCCCCTCAGGTCAGGGATTTCGGGCAGTGGCTTGCGTTCATAGTGCGCTTCCGCGTTTCGAGTCGCTGCGTTGCAGCCGGCTGGAGTGCGGCAATGGATATGAGTGTCCAGGAAAGACGAAAGGACGAAAGGTGGAGGACGGCGTTGCCAAAGCGAGAACCCAGCTCAGGTGTAACTGTGCCGGGACACGGAACCTCGAAGCGAAGATCAATAAGCCTGCATTGCCATAATGTTGCGACAGTGGTCTCTAGGTCCTGAGGTCTGAGATTTTTTGGGCGCAGTTGCAGGATCGAAGAGAGGCGCGCCTGCCCAGTAGTGGTGGAGTGGGGCGCGGGGGGGGGGGGGGTTGTTGGGCCCCTGGTTACCCGTTTATACAGTTCAAACAGCAGACCTAACTCATATGCTTTTATTGTGTAGATGTATCACTGTCTCGCCTGTAGGTCAAGCGAGGGGCTCGGAGGCCCGCTGCGGCAGCGGCTCGGCGAGCCACGCCGGTGCAGGGGCCTTGGGATGGCCCCAGGCGGGATGCTTTGTTGTTGTTTTTTTTTGCGAACATGGTTGCAACACCTTTCTGTCTCTTTTCATCTCATGTTCTCATCTTTTTTCTGAGCAAACTCCTGTAGCTCATCTGTTCGTAAACTTTTTTCAGCTCGCAACCCCAAGCATGACCCGCGATGCCTGCACAGTTGCCACCGACCATATGATGTTCGATAGCTCACGTGCCTGACAAGGGTCGGGTGTGTGTGCGTGTGAAGGCTTATTCCGCAAGGGGCTCATGCCATGTCTGGTGAGGAACTTGAAGCCAGTTGCTGACAGATGCTTCGGTATCGACACTATACCTGGGAAGCCGCAACCTTCACAACGCAAAGCGGGCCCTAGACCTAGAGCGGATGCTGGACAGGACCAATGAGTGCGAACAACAGGAATCCAAAGGATCACCCCAAGTGGAGAGCAGGGCTTCGGGCGAATATTCGTCTAGGAGACTGAAAATGAGAGGCTTGACGTGCCACCCAATCCAAGCACATCCACGCCCTTTCTGCGGACGTCAGATTATTGTCGCCAGACGCACAACTTTGTTGTTGGCATCTGGGCTGGGGATGCAGTCAGAAACTGCCATCCGTCTCGGCGGCATGCGCGGATATGATTCACCACGCTCAAACGGCAAGAAGCTTGCCCCCTCCCCCGCGAAGCAAAAAAAACAACATCCTGCAATGTCAAACCGCACGATGCCAGCACCAAAGCTGCAAATCACCGATTGCCGCAGCTGCAACAGCACGGAAAGCCGCACACGCACTGAATCCCCTTCCTGGGCCATCTTGGGGTTGGTTGGAGAAGTGGTATGTTGTTGAAGTTTTGCTCCCTTGCGGAGTCCCTGGTGTAGCAAGGAAACCGAACCACAGTATCTTTTCACATCGGAGTTGACTCCCCCCGATCATCTTCAAACACCCCGCGGATCCCAAGGATCCAGATATCCCGTGAGATGCAAAAAGGAAACACACCCCTCTGAGCCTCAAATTACCGATTAAAAAGGCTGCAGAGGGCCACAAAATATCACAAAATGCATGCCGCGCTTCCGAGCCTGCCAAAAGGTCGGACCGGGAGTCGAATCGCTTCCGGTGCCTTCGGCGTTGCCTTGGAGGTAAACGGACCCACAGCCTCAGCGACCGGGAATGACCCGGAGGTGGCACTTCCAGTACCCACATGAACCATGAAGGGCTAGACTAAACGATCAACTTAAGGTAGCAAAAAAACTACTACAAGTACGGATTGCCATCCCCAGCCAGGCAGCTGTGCTCCACGCAGCGCAGCTCCACGCCACGCTGGACCTCCCGAGAGGTCTCGTTGGCACTTTGCGTCGCGCCCTCGTAGTGGCGGCAGGTTTCCTTCGTCCAGAGGAGGTGGATCGAGCCAACGCCGCGGCGCCAGAAGCCCTCGAGCTGATAAATCTCGGCATTCCTTACTTTTTTGCGGGATCACAGGACAACATGACAACCCGACAAAAACAAAAAACAGAAGCAAAGGCAGCCACCCCCGATAATTCAGACGCAGTAGCCTTCACTTCTGTTGGCGCTGGGAGGCAAGGGCTGTTAAGTTGAGACTGCCTGGACAACCCCGGACCCCGAAAAAAACCTGACGCCCCTGACGAAGGCAAAGTGCTAGATGCCATAGCTTATACAGCGTCCACGAAAACGGTCCACAAGCGGACTCCTAAACTTCTTAACTTCGAGAGGGGGTTCTGCCGGAAACCAGACTTGGTCTTCACCGACCCTGTTGTTTGGACGGCTTCGTAGAAGCATTTGGTCGGGCCCCGGAAGTGGAGTTCGGCATGCCATCGGTCATCCAGCGTGCGGGCAACTATAGCAGTTCGAAAGGCCAGCGGTAGATTTTGACCTGCCAGTGGATCCTGGGACCCAATGAACTGACGGATGTTGGCCACAATGTGTGCCTTCAGAGGACTCAGGGCAGCATCTATGCCTTCATTGGTCTGGAAATCGCTTGACACATTGTCTGGTTTTGGGTTGCTGCCATTGCCTGCCAGTCTGTTCAAACCATCAAAATCTGTTTGGAACAGCCAAGGTGCAGCGAGAGACATTGCACAACAACTCGTCGGCAAAGGCCTGCGTTCCCGGCTCGCATCTGACAGTCCGAGGGCCAGCATAGCCTTTGCCCCCTCCTTTGCCCTTTTTCTTCTTTTTCGTCTTTACACTGAAGTCTGCGCCATCTTCCGGCCGGGTGGAACGACCAAGCTGTGCGTCCTCTTCTTGACTCCTGGGTGGCTCCGCAGTGGACTTCTTGGCACCTGGCGCACCTGGGGGAGCCTCTTCTTCACTGTCTGAGTTCAGGGCAGCAAACATGGCTCAATCGGCGAAGGGCGTCCAGGCGCGTAGCCGGACTCCGAGAGACTGCTCTGTCTAGTTCGGCATGAGTCGGCTCCAGCGGCTGCGCGCAAGGTTACGACATCCTTTTACGAAACACGTGGGAAAAACCCACAGTTCCCCATACAGGTTTTTGTCCCAAACGACCCATCTGTTCCCTAGATTGAAGAAACCACATCTCGTGCAGGTAGGGAGGCACCTCTCAACTTCGAAGCACATTCAAGTCACTACTCAGCCATCTTGCACAGCAGACAAGTTTACAAGGTCGTGGGCAAACGGTCGACGCCAGTTGTTTCTACTTCATCAGAAAGAAGACTGCGACTAAGACGTCAACAATACAAGAAGCCAAACAGAGCTACACCAAAAAACTGTGCTTAAACTTCTGCTGTGGCTTTAGTATCATGATTGATTGTCCTTCATCCCCATGGCCTTGAGGTTCCCAACTTCGGGTTCCACCTGCCACAGGGTGCTTTGAGGGTGGTGGCTTCGTGTTCGTTGCGGTGAGTAGAACAGGCATCTGACCAAAGCCTGGCTCAGCACGGACTTGTACAAAGATCGCGGCACCATCGGCGCCTTCCCAGTGCTCTTGAGTGCTCAAGAAAGGAGCACACGAATGATTGACTCCAATGATTCTAAGCTTGCAGCCCTACAGCCACTCGAAACCTCACAACAAGCGCAAAGCAAAAACAAATCTTGGGACCCGAAGGGCCCTAGATGGCCCTAGATCTTCACCGAGCTAGGTGACAAGGCTCATCCCGATCCCTCAAGCGTGAAAGATGAAAAGGTTTAGGGTTTAGGGTTTAGGGTTTTTTTTCGCTCCCGCATAGCTGGCCGAACCGCAAAGCAGGGTGACGTCGATGAAACTACTGTGTCGGAAAAAGGGGGTCCAATACCAGACCCGACCTTCCATTCTGCCTGCCAGTTCCCTCCTATCAAAACCAAAAAACAAAAACCAGTAAGTCACAAAAGAACCAGTAAGTATCAACAATAAAGTACATAAGTCTCCCAAAACTCTTCAACGTCGGGAAATGGCCGCTGCCTCGCACTACCACGCCAACTGCAGATGAGCCCACTTCCAGTCAGAAAACACCAAAGATTGGCATATACATCAACAAACAAAGACACAGGGACTCACCGAGGCTACCCGCGTTTTTGTACAGACCTGAAGTCCTCCTTCTATCAGGATTCTGCCAACCGGCAGAGGGTGCTACGTTCCAACCGGAGAGCAAACAACATTATCAATAAGCAATAAAACCTCCATTCTTCATTTCGTAGTCCCCAGGCCGAAGGCTCTGTCAACATCCAGCGAATTCGGGTGACACCATTCTTCAGCTCCATCGGAGCCAGCTCGAAAAGCCTCGCTGTCGCACGATCCCCCTGAAAATCAGGACTCATCTGAATTCAAATTGACAGCACCGCGTGTTCACAAAGGTCACACACGAAATCAATTCCGTTCTGTGTATGAATTCTTTCACGAATTTAACCGGCATCAAATTAGCAAATTGAAAAGTCGAATTCCGCGTAAGCTACGAATTCCTTGAATTCATGAATTCTGAATTCAGGCATGAATTCTTTAATGAATTCGCGAATTCTGGAACGACGACATGCATCAGTGGCACCATCGCGACACCCAACTACTCAAAACAGAAACAAAGAAATCACCACAAGTTTGAACAAAGAAACCACCTCTAGCCAAAGAACCGCAAGCGGTCCACTCACGATCCACTCATGCCCTGTGCATGCTCCACGCACCGTCACTCTGAGCACTTGGCACATTTGCTCAGAAAGAGGGCAAGACTAGGCAGCACGGGTGTCCACCTATCATCAAACACTAAAACACCAACATAGATCCGGAGCCCCATAGAAGAATCCCGCACCAGTACCCCCAACCCACATAGATCCCAACAATGTCACAACATAACACACCGCTGCTGCTTGTGCGCGTGTGTGCTCCCGACACGCTCTCTTTCTTTGAAAAAGGCAAGACGAAGCAGTTCGGCATCGGCATTCAAACCATCATCAAAAACGAAAACACCTACATAGATCCGAAGTCCGCATAAAAGGTGCCCAAAACAGTACCCCAACCCACATAGATCCTACCAATATCAACACTTATATCCGACGCTGATACGCTCAGCTCCCCTCACAGCATGCACCCTCAGACTTTCGGCCACCACGTGTACGAGCGATGAGCATGTCACACCCGCCCTTCTTCCAGCATCGAGCCAGTGTAGGGAACGTTCCTTGCTTGTTTTGCACGTCGTCGGCTGAGTCCAATCACTTGTTTGTCTCTCCTGCATTGCGGCAACCCCTTGCTCAAAGGTGGAGGTGCCCTTGCCGCAGGTTGCCAGCTTCGACCACTTTGCGTCCAGGCTTCGTCTTTTCAGGACGAGTAAGGGAGCACGTGGGGGCTGCCCCCCGGGTGTCCCACACTATCCAACTGCTCAACTGAGGCCTCCCCCTGCGTGTCCAAAACCATCCATCTGCTCAACGTGTGGTGACCGTCAACTCCAGCAGTTGTGGCATCCTCTGCTCCCTTTCTAGTTGGGTCAACGACGTCACCGCATTGCCCCTCAGGGGGGGGGGCATACATCTCAGCCGCGCCAGGCAAGGCATGCGGGTTGCCAGTTGTCCTCCTCGTCTCCACAGAAAAATGTGTCCCACGCACTTTTGGCTTCTCCTCTCCAATTGCAGGGCTCAAGAGCTCCCCCCCCAGCACCCGGCTCGGATCTCCGGAGTTGCTCCAGGTATTTTCCATGGCAGTTGGGCCGGGCTACCGACACGTGTATGTTACAACAGGTGGAGCTTACTACAAGACTACAGCTACAAAATTCATAGACGCTAAGAGAAACAAACTGTAGTTACAAAGTGCATAGACGCTAAGAGAATGATACCCCCATGTTCTGCACTCAAACAAGGAGTAAGAGGACAGGTAGGGAACACGGAGAAAGGAGGCAGAGAGCCAAGATTGACGTGCAACAAGAGCAGGACAAGTAGGAGTAGACGACTCTTTCCTTGGACCTCAGTTCTGTGTGCTGGAGACGGCTTGTTTTTTTTTTTTTGGGGGGGGGGGGGGGGATGCAGCATGCAGCAAAGGTTGGTTGGTGGCGTGAAGGCGTAGCCTGCAAAGTGCGGACAAAGCTCCACGCGAAGCATGCAAAAACATGCAGTGAAAAGAGCGTGCATGTACTGCCAGAAAGATCTACGACACACAAGTACAGACATACGCCTCAGTCAGACTGCCCTGACCCGTCATCAATTTGCGTGTCTGCAACTGCTTCAAGCTCCACTACTGTTCGAGCTGGCTGAATCGTGGCCAAATGACGCGGCCTTCGCGAGGTGAACACCCTAAGCTTCTTTGGAGGCGACTCAAGAGCGGCACCTTGAGATGCGTCTTCAGTCAACGTGTCCTCTGTACTGGACAGAGTGTCGACATCAATCATTACATTCGAGTCATTCAGTCTCCAAGTGGGCCGAGAAGTCCTACGAAAAAGCAGCCTGGATTGGGTTACTGGCCGCTGCAACTGCTGGCTAGCATGGTCCTGAGCCGCCGACAGCACTTGATTAGGCTCCGGGCACGCAAACCCCCTGCTTCTTAAGCTCGTCGCTAGCTCTCTTGGCACATGCAAGCACAGCTGTGGCACAAAGCCCAAAAGCATGACTCGCCGCTGTCCCGAGGGTCGCCCTCCCGCATGCAATAGGGTGCGTGCATCAAACATGATGAGCTTTGTCATGCCGTCATGCTCCTGACCCCAAACAGTACGTCCTTCAAATTCTCTCGCTGACCTTCCCTTATCAAACTCCACCCAGACCCCATCCTGCCCCCTTTTAGGTTCAGTGAGACTCACAGCAAACGAGGGCAAGAAGGAGTTGGCCTGATCTCTATGCGGTGGGGCAGGGGGGCCCTCCCGTACCACCAACGACGCAAAAAAGAGGTTGGGCGCTCGGTGTGCTGCAAAACGACACATACACCTTGTGAACTCCGGCAATTCGGTGGACATGCGAAGCTCCTGCGTGGCAGATCTGGTTCCAATCCCCATCATGCCAAGAAAGACCCCTTCCGCTTTGCGTTGTTTCAAGTTCACGGGGACTTCATCCCACAATGCCAGCATCTGGGACCTCGTAGGCTCTTCAGTAGCTTGCAGCAGCCTGCTTGCACTGGCCTCCACTATGTTTTTTTGGGCCTGTTGGCGAGACATGACAAGAGAACTTGAGCTGGGAGGATACAACAGGAAGTGCACCAGGGCTCTCCGGGCTACATCTCTCGACTCGGCTTGATGTTGCATAGATTCAGCATGCTGTGCATGGAACGTCTATGAGTCTGCCGATGTGTGGGGGTTCAGGGCCTGATTTGTTCGTGCCATCACATGACCAAGGTCAGGGCACGTCGACTAGCTACCTGTCCATGTCATATCGAAGGTAGTAAGGCCCGCAAACTATTATATTACACGTCGACTAGCTGCCTGTCCATGTCATATCGAAGGTAGGAGGCCCTGCAAACTATTATATTATATTACTAAAGCGATGACGAAGTGGCTTAATGATGAAGCAGTAGCAATTATCATAAAACGATCATATCAATGACGAACCGGCTGAGAAACTGTCTATGATACATGAAATATAAGATATGAGTAGCAGTAGGTATGTCGATCACACTCTCCCATCCCCTTATTCCGCTCCCCTCCCCGTATCACTTTTCGAGCGGGCGACGGCAGTGCCAGAGACCGGGGCTGGACAGCAGGCCCATACGAGAAAAGTCCACTCATCTGCAGAACACTTACGGTTCTCAGCTGCAGTGGGGGGGTATGAATCACGTAGGCTCAGGGGGGGCGCACAGGGTTCACCCAATCGTGGTGGCAGGGAAAAGACGCATATGTGAATTCGGATGAATTCTGCACACTTAAATTCGGGCATTCTTTTTTGGGGTGGGGGGTGAAACAACGCGCACTGGAATTCCGCGGATTCTGAATTACACATAG